GGCATTGTGATTAGCACACACATATGTGAGGCGGGGACACGGGTAAGGCAGTATAGCACAGGGAAGACAAGTAATGACTCTACAGCATCTTACGAAGCTGATGGACAGTGACTGCAATGGTGTGGGGGTGTGGGCACTTGACAATATGGGTGAATGTAGTAACCACAATATTGCTCATGTGAAATCTTCACAAGATTGTATATCAATAATACCATAATAAAAAAAATAAGAAAATAAAAATTTTAAAAACTAAAAAAAAGTCCTATGCTCCAATACTAAATTCTGAAGCAAAAAAAGAACAAAACAAGTTTTTGCCCTCAGTCCCTCTTTTGGTCTTCCTCTTCTTGTTATGACTTTCAAGAGGTGTTACCAGATAATTTTTATGTCAGGACTGATTTTATATGATACATGTTCTCACAGTCTTTTGAGTTTGGTAGCATTGTATCCATTTTACAGAAGAAATCATATCGTAACTAGTAGAATCAGGATTTGAACCTTGATGTTTCAGTCTTCCAAGCTCTTGACTGTTTCAAGCAAACCTTTTGGGCTATGTGTACGTATAGAGAAGGTGAGAAAAGGGGAAGTAATTATTTTCCCCTTCTTGTTGTTGGAACACACACCGTTTGGCCTCGAATCTTATTTTATGGATTCTGAGGCATTAATGCAAAAGTGTTTTTTAAAAAAACTAGCACAGCATAGTTAGCACTTGATGTTGGACAAGTATTTGTATAGATAATAGATGTACAGCCATTTTAACACCTGTTGCTCTTTTGCATTAAATGCGTGGCTTCTGGGGATTACCTGCCATTTTCATTGACAATGACTCCCTTAGCCCTGTTCTACTGCCAGAAATTGAGCAATCCATAGCTGTTCTGCCTATTCTATCTTTGGCTTCAAGATGTTCAAACATTGTCATGCTTTCTTCAGTTCTGCAAAGGTATTTTGCCTAAATTTCTCCTTTCTCTGTGGCTTCTCTCAGATCTCTCAGAACAAATATTTTGTTTTTTATGCCAGTCATATCCCAACCAGTATGTTAGAGAAAGATGGGGTGATCTTGTATAAAGCACAAGCTATTTACTAGCTGGTGACTCCAGATGAAGAGTACATGAATGTTGTACTATGTTTCACCTTTTTTGTATTGAAATGTTTCAAAATAAAAGTTCAAGTGGGTGGGAGAACATAAGCTTTAGAGAATGACTGACCTGGTGTTTCAAATCAAATTCGGCCCTTCCCTAGCTGTGATACTTAGGCGGGCTTCCTGACCTCTCTCAGCCTGGTTTCTGCCTCTGTGAAATTTGGGTAGTAAAGTATCAATTTATAAGTCATTATGAGAATGAAATAAGACAGTGTATGTGAAGTGCCTAGGTAGGTGCCTGACAACTGGAAAGGGAGCAGTGATCATTTTCCAACTATCTCAAATCTGCAACTCTTGAGATAAGCTTTCTTGTCCCCTGCTTCCCACTTCCAAGCACTCAAGCCCTCAAGCCTCTCTAGCTAAATGCAAATGTCTGGCCTTTATTTTCAAGACCCTGTGATAACACTGATGTCCTGCCTCAGCCTTCATGTCAATCAGATTGCCCTCTCAGAAGCACTCCTTACCATTTGGCCAAACTCCCAGCCTTGTGGCCAAATTGCTCTCCAAATAGGAGGCAGCCCATCACCTGCCCCTTCCTATCACCTTCCTTCATATTGCATCCATAGCAAACCGTTCTGCCGCCAAACTCATGGCCTGAGCTGCAGAGCTACACATCTTGTAGATGGCTCTACTTATCTGAGAACCATTCAACCCAAAGTGGTGATTAACAGAACACCAGAAATGCTCCTGGCAGGACACAGCATTGCACTGTTTCTGTTGGGTTCCTACTTTCTTTGCGTGGCATTTTTCAGTCAGATTGCACTGTGGCCCTTATTGCTAATTTTCAGATCTGACAGCAGATGTTACAATCCTCTTTTCCAAAAAATACTGTCACAACTTGCCTTCCCTAGACTCTCATCTTTCATTTTGCCCCTTTCATCTACCCCTTCTGATCATCCTAAACATTAAACCATTTCTGAACATGCCCTGCCCCTTTGAGCTGATTGGCCTTTTCACATTGCTGTTCCTTCTGCATGGAATGCCTTCACTGTTTTCAGCTGGCAAATTCTTTTATCCTCTGTGCTATAGCTCAATGTCACCTGTCAAGGACGCTTTTCCTGTTCTATTCTTCATACTATTCATTTCTTTCCTGTGCTCCCACCATGCTTGATACATCTTTCTCCCTCCCTAGACTCTGAAGATTTTAAAGGACAGGAACTGTGTCTTACTCATCTTTTTGCCCCTAGCACCAGCCTAATGTCTGGCTGGTGGTAGGCCTTCACAAATATTTGTTGAGTGAATGAATGGCTTTGCATTCATCTTCAGGCCATCTTTATGCTTAATAATGGCCCACCAGTGGCTCTTTGGAGCCCAGAGCTGGGCATTGGGAAACTGTTCGGATTCTCCATTTTTGAGTCACAATAGGCACTCTGACACCTTGCTTATTTTATTAACGTCTGTCTTCCAGCCTGACATTTTCAGAGTGTTTCCAAGTGTGAAATCTTATGTTTTGGTATGTGTTATCTTATTGCTCATGGGAACTAGTCAGGCTTCCCGATGGGACAGTGCAGGGTATGGCCCAGCACCCTACCAATAATGGCTCTCATATGTCCACCCAGGAGCACCATTCTTTATTCCCCCTTCTTCCTTAACACACCAGAGCATATCACAAACATATACTCATCAGCTTGGCAAAGATTGCATCTGTCACCTGATTTTCACCTTGCCTTGCTTTTGGAACCAAGCACCTGCAGGGTGTTCAACAAACAGGTGCTACCTGCTTAATTTCAGCTCAACATGTGCTTATGTTTCCTGCAGCTGCCTGGTCGCCACAGTCTGCTGGGTGGCATGGCAATGCACCTGCTTATGATGGTCTCACTCAGAAGCACAATGAAATTGCTCAGAAGACAGATGTCTATGGTAGAGTCTAAACTGTCATGACTTTGAAGACAAAATGGTGATGATTTAGAGCACCTGAGTTCCAAATATGACTCAAATACGATCTGCCTTATCTGACGTTGGAAGTTATATAACCATTTCCCCTAGTTTCTCTAGTTATAAAATTGAGAAATGATAGATCCTTCTTATTAGTTGTGGGACTCTAATGAGATGATGTTTTTAAAGTGCTTAGCAAAAGCTTAAGCAGAATAGGGACTCAGTAAGTTGCTAATTATCCCTCTTCATCTTATTATTAGGCACTTGACCTTCTTGCAAATTCTACGTTTCAATGCCACAATGACCAGCTTGTCAGCATCCTAAGCTTGCCCTTAGATGTCAAGAGAGGGCAAGGCTTTATGCTGTCAAGCCTCTCTCCTCACTCATTAAGCTCTCTGAAATTATAAATCTCATCCTCTGTAACATCCAAACTTCACAAGTCATTTTTTAATATTTCTTTGGGTTCTGGAATTTGCTAAGCCCATGAATTTACTCCTTAAAACATTAAAGCTGAACTGGTCCTCAGAGATCATCTCATCCAACCCACTTACTTTACAGACTGCTAAGGATACCAAGACCTATGGGAGGGATGAGCCATGCTTAGTCCCATATAGCCAGATGCTGGTGAGCTGGAGCCAGAATCAGGTTTCCAAATGTAATGGCCCTCCTCTTCCCGACACAGTTTGCTGTACCTCCTAGAGTCATGTTCTCAGAGGCTCAGCCATGCTTTCCCTTGCTCTTAGAGATCCCCAGGCCACTTTGCTCCTTCTAAGTAGCCAGCTATTTCCTTCTCTTGGTAAACAGCCAGCACTTCCAAGTAACATGACAGGGGTCCACACAGCTCTTTATGGGGACAGCCTGGTGCTGGGGCAGGATACAGACTGTAGGACACATGCTGGTGTCATCACCCAGGGACGAGGGACCCCAGCAGCAATCACTGCCAAAGCTTCACTCTCACCCTTCCAAACTCAACAAACCCACCCTCACACCTTGGGGAACACTGAGTTTTAAAGAGAACTGAGAAGACTTTTCCACTGCACTGTTCTGATTCTCATTTTACAGATAAAGAAACTGAGGCTCATTGGAGGAGGTTAGGGAACAGGCCCAAGTGCTTACAGTTATCAGAGTGTCCATTTCAGTCTCTTTGACTGCAGTGAAGTGCTTAGGATTAGATCAATAAAATGCAAACAAGAGCACTTATAAAATATGGTTGCTCTGAGGATTAGATGAGCTCATGAAGGTAAAAGTGCGAACAGAAGAGTCACCTAAGAGAAGGAAGCATCTTACTCATCTTTGCATCACCAGTGCCTGGCACATTACTGGTTATCAATGCACCTAAAAAATAATCTATGCATGGATAAATTAATAAAATGAATGAGTGACTAAAGAAATAAGCCACCTAGCAGAGGGGCCTAGGACACAAGAGGTATTCAGTAAATGCTTCTTTTCCCTCCCTCGCTCTGGAGGGTGACGGTCACATTTGCAATTTCTGGTAGGCCTCGATGAGTGTGTGTAGATGGGATGAGTGACCCTTAGCCCTTGAGGCCATGGGGAAACACATGTCTTCTTACTCATAAGCAGAGGCCAGTGCTCCAAGCTCCAGGGAGTAGTGTGCTACCTTGGCCAGGGCTCCCTCCTCTGCAGGGTAAGGGCCACCCATCCTACAAGCCAACCCGACCCAACCCTGGCCCAACTGTTCCCCAGAATCAGTATCAGGCTTGGATGCACACACCAGTGGGGGGCAGCAGCAAATCCCTCCGACAGCCAGAGATGGGGATATGGCTACCAGTGAGCTGAGGGTGTACTTGCCCAGCCAGACTCAATTTCATTCCATTCTTCCATCCTGTCTCTTTTTCTCTGTCTTTTAGAGGCTTCAAATCTCTGTTCCTGTGTCTAATGAGCAAATGAGTGTCTAGAAGAGTGTCTGGCATATAATAATAAATATTGGTGGAATGAATAAATGAGTAAGTGAAAAGGACTGAAGGAAGAGTCAGGCTGGCTAATGCGTGTCTATTTATTGGCACAGGATCCTATAGGGCCAAGACCACTCCCTCCCCACCCTCTTCCCTGTAAAAATAAACTCTGTCCTTCCCTCTCCCTGCTCCATCTGCCTTCCTGTTTAGCCCAGTGACAATCAGTTACCCCCTAAGACTTGTACCTCAAACACAGGAACTAGTATCCCCTAACATACACACTTTTCCTCTGAGCCCAGGAAACCAGGAGGCAGCAGGAAGGCTTGTAAAAGCCTTCAGGCCTCCACTAAGAGCAAGCACAGTAGGCCTGGCATGAGGGTTGACAGGAGTATTGGAAGCAGCAGCACAAGGAGACAGGGTGGGGGACAAGCCCCTGAGGAAGGGGCTGAGAGGAGCTGAGTCCACTCTCAAGTGGGCACCGAGTGAGCCTCAGGGAGAAGCGTGGGAGGCACATCACCCAGGTCCCGCATGGTCAGAGTGCATCAGGCACAGCAGGCCCCGTGGCCACCAAGCTGAGTGAGCTTGGGACAAGAGGAAGACTCCTTCCTGTAGGAGTGGGTGCCCCCACCCAGGCTGCCTCCAGGCAGGGTGACACAACAGGATGTCACAGTGAATGGTGGGGGCTCTGCTGGAGGCAGGGGCACCCCCAAAGCAGAGGCACAATGTGGTGGTTGAGGAAGGACGATTGGGACTTATGTCACCTGTGGTGTAGAGGGGCTGGACCCAGCCCAGCTGGCATGTGCCCTCTCCAAACCTTGGAGCAAAGAGCCTTGCTGGGTGAGCTGCCCCAAGGGCTGGAAACAGCCAGCCACTTTCCCCTGATCCAGGTCTACCAAACCTCACACAGCTGCCCTGGGTTCATGGGGGAGCCAACAGGGCAGCCGAAGTGCCTCAGGAAGTCCCGGGAGTTGGAGAGGGTGCCCAGCACGCGGAACCGGGCGGGGCTGTGGGGGTCGGTGACCAGCCCCTCATGAGAGCTCTCGGGTGTGCGGACTGAGCACCACACCTGTGGGCCAGGACAGACATGGAGACATATGGTGTCTAGTGCAGGCAGGGCCACAGACTTGGCTGCAGCTGAGCCATCCCAGGGATACAAACCACCACTGACCCAGCTGTTCAGCCTTTCAAGAGGCCTCAGGAATAAGGACGGTGCTCAGCCCACATCTCACCCCAACCTTTGCTATCAGCACCCAGGGAGGGAATGTGCCCTCCCTCCCAAATTCTTTGAAGGTCTTTCAAAGCTGCCCTGGACACTGGGTTGCTCAGGATGGACATGTCTGAGGGGAAGAAGCACAGCCCCCAGTGGCCGCCTGCTGTGGTGCAAAGTGCCTTGAGGAGGTGCTGTCTGGGTGCTTGCTCTGTCACTTAATTTATTCCTGGGTAGCCCTGAATGACCCACTTGGTCCTGGAGCTTTAGTTTCCTCCTCCACTGCCACCTCAGGAGTGTGGTGAGGAGCAATCCTACTCCCTGCCCCTCCCCCCACTTAAGCTAGGCAGCCCTGCCCTTTGAGATCTGCAGAAGCCTCCTGAAGAGCTGTCCTTCCTCAGGCCTCCAAATGGACTCTCAGGAGCCCTAGCCAAGAGGCTCTGGACACAGACCACTTTCTTCCCCTCATCTTCAGTCCCATTTCCCAGGCCCTTTCCTACATGCTCCACACTTGTCACGACACACCCACGAGGGGGTAGGAGAGAAAGACCCCAGGCCTCCCGGGAGGGCAATACCTGGGCAAATCCCACAAAGAAGAGCTGATGATTGGTGAGCCCCACGGCTGGCAGCTGCTGCTCCTCCCCATGCTTTCTCAGCCATGTTTTGTAAGCCTGGAGTTGAGCACAGAGGCAGCAAGTTCTTCAGGGCCTGCTCACCATGTCTACCCAGAACCATTCCACCCCTGGGGTAGGTGGGCCACTGGAGGGCCAGCTGGGCCACTCACATTGTAGGCAGCCTTGAGCCCCCCGTTGTCAGCAATGTTCTCCCCCAGTGTCTGGCGGCCGTTGAGCCTCTCCCCGTTGACCTGGTACTGGCTGTACTGCTCTTCCATGCAGGCTGTGTGATTCTGGAAGGCTGCCAGGGACTCATTCTGCCACCAAGGCCGCAGGTTTCCTTCCTTGTCATATTCTCGCCCTGAGGAGAACTAACCTGTGCACCCCATTGACAACAGCCCTCCACCAGCCCCAGGGTCCCTAGGGCCTGCTCTCAACATCCCAAGACCTCATAGGAGTCACTGGAAATTCTAGGCTGGAGGGTACAACTCCATGGGCTTCTACCTTGGTCATCAAAGGCGTGTGTCAACTCGTGGCCCATCACCACGCCAATGCCACCAAAGTTCAGGGCCCTGGTAGGTGAGAAATGCTGAGTGAGGACATAGTGGGGGGACTTCTGGACCCCACCTAGAGCCCTGAACCCAGCTCCCCCACAGGCCCAGGTCCCAGCACCCAGCTGCCCCTGCCTCAAACACACTTGGGGTGGTTGCGGGTGTAGAAGGGGGCCTGCAGGATGCCAGCAGGGAAGACGATTTCATTCTTGGTTGGAAGGTAGTAGGCATTCACTGTCTGGGGGGTCATGCTCCACCTGGGAGAGAGGAAGGGTGAGGCTGAGACTCATGACTCCTCTGAGGCCCCTGCCAGCCCAGCAGCCTTCACCTCTCTCCTGCAGGGACCTTGTGCCTCTGGTTTGGGGTCGGTCTCGCCACCCCTTTCCCTCAAGCCCTGGAAACCTCCCCCACCTCTCCTGTTGCCCCAGGTATCTAGAGCCCCCCATTCTCACTGGTCCCGGCTGGGAGGCTTGCGTAGCTGGTCAGCCATCACCTTAGCAGAGAAGTTGTACAAATTCAACATGTTCTGGAAGAAGGAATCTTCAGAGACTTCATACTGTGGAAATGGTAGGAAGTAGAAAGCAAGAGAACATGTTGGGGAAGAGAACAGTCCCAGCTTGGCCACCAATTATAACCTTTATGAGCCTCAGTTCCCTCAGCTGTAAAGTGGGAGTGAAATATCTAGGAAGTAAGAACGGCCAACACTTACAGAGCACTTAGGTTGCAGATGTACTACTGCCTGCTTTTATTCTCACAACAGCCCTTCAAGGTATGTACTAACAAGACTCCCATTTTACAGTTAAGTCGGGGTAGAAACAAGATCTGACTCAGATCCGACTACAAATCTCTCATTAACACTGCTGTCTGGCCCGCAGCCTGGCACGGAGCCAGCACTTGAGCGATGTCATTGCCTGCACTTGCTTCCGAAGGAAACCAACAAACACCTACTTCCCTCCCAGTGCTTGAGCCCAAATTACCGAGCCCAGAAAACAGAGCAGCTCACAGAGCTGCAGTTCAGCAGTGGGGAGCAGAAGTACTCACCCCATCATAAACATCATCCAGCTCTTTGGGCTCCAAGATGAAGTCCGGGAAACCAATCATATCATAGATGGAGTCTGCCTGAAGAGATCAGGTTGAGTTGCCCTCCCCAGGCTCCCTCCAGAACGGTATCCTCCATCCCTACCTCAAGATGGCGCCCCAGCCCTGGCCACGGCTCACTTTCTCCTTGGCTGCCCGGCGGGTCTTCTCATCCATCCAAACCAGCTGTCCCAGGGCCTCCTCAAAGGCAGTCCTGATCTCGCTGATCATCCCCTCTGCCTGAGAGGGAGGGAACACAAGTCAGCTTCCGCACATTCCTGCAACCTTTCTCCCCGTTCACCCTCGTGCCCACCCCTATCCTTCCCAGAACATGTGGGAGTGAGTGCCCAGACTCTTGAAATAAGGCTTGAACACCTGGGGAGGACGAGAAGGAAACACAATTTATGGAGGTAGTAGGATGGCAGGTGACCTTTTTCCTAGTTCATCAAAAATTTTAATTGAAAATAAGTTAATGAATTAATATTATAACTTAATATAGTGCACTGATTTCTTTTTTTTAATTAAAGTATCATTGATATACAACCTTATGAAGGTTTCACATGAACACTGTAGTTTCAACATTCAACCATATTAAGTCCTTCCCTCTCTTATTGCAGTCACCTTCAGAGTAGTAAGATGATATAGTCATTATTTGTCTTCTCCGTGCTGTACATATAGTGCATTGATTTCTATCTGATTATGGAAGGAAGCCTTTAATAGCAGAAAATTTGGAAAATTGAGGAGAGTTGAAAAAGAAAATAGACCACTTACAATCCCATCAGTCAGAGACAACTTCTTTTAACACAGTGTCTGTCCCTGCCCAATATACATACATAATAGGGGATGATGTTGTGCAACATATATATCTTGTAACCTACTTTTGTTTCACTTAACGATATATCATCAGTTTTAAGGCTGTCTCATAATCCATCCTAATCACAATTTTTTTACAGTCCCCTATGATTAGACATTTAAGCTTCTTTCATTTCCCCTATTATAAATCACACTGCTATAAAAATCCTTATAGATGTTTAAGCACATTTATGATCATCCCCTAATAAAAATATATATATTATTTTCCTAATTATATAGGTAACATAAACTCATTGTAGAAAATTTGGAAAACAGAGAGAACTTTAAAGGACAAAAAAAGAAACGCATAATCTCTAAAGTGATCACTGTTAATTTGTTGATGAATTTCCTTTCAGTTTTTTCCCCATATATGTACACACATACATGAACAGTGGATTTTAACTACAAGGGGTAGTGTTCAAAGAACCTTTAAGACTCACAATTTGCTTGCTTTGCCGGTCAAATGTGGCCTTCACAAAGAGGGCACCCAAAGCGAAGCCAAGGGCATCATCTGTGCTGGAGATGCAGGTCTGCCACCTTGGTATGCAGGACTGTAAGGACAAAGGGCAAGATATTCCAGAGACGGTTCTGTCCTCTGGTCTGAGGGCCTTTCTCTGGCTCAGCTCTGAACGATGAAGGCCTGGGTGCCATCTCTCCCTCGGACTCAAGGAAAATAAAGGGCAGTATGGAAAAGTGCTGGCCACTGCACTGAAACTTCTGGAGGCACGTGTGCACTACCCACTCTGTTCTCAGCACTCTCCTCCTCTTAAGTCTCTAAGATGCCTATTGGGGTCCAGAAGTTTCTTTGCTCATCTCCATACCTCAGTCTTATATCCAATCAGTCCCCATGCCAGAAACCGGGGAGTCACTGCTTCCTGGAGCTCCCTCCACCCACATTCTGTCTCTCACCAGTTTCTACTATCTCTACTTAATCATCTCCCCTGTCTACCCTCTCTGCCTTACAACACTGTCATCTCTTGCCTGGATATCGCAGTTACTCCTAACAAGACACTCTGACTCCTTTCTCATTCCCCTGCCCATGCCACTCCCCTCCATATTCCATTTAGCTGCCAGGAAGATCATCCAATACATAAATCTAACCTGGTCACTCCTCTGCTTAAAAACATCCCATGGTTTCCCCATCCCTGAGAGAACCAAGGCCAGACTTCTTCACCCAGCATTCAGGCCCCTTCAGGGATTGCCCCAGATCCTACTTGCCACCCTCAGCCTCTCAGCTGCCCTGTTCTCAAGCCTATACCAGCACACGTGCAAACCCATCACGCTCCTCCTGGCCTCTGGGAACTTGTACCTGTTCCTTCTGCCTGGAATGCCCTTCTCTCTTGCTTTCTTGGTGTACTAATTCTTCAAATGTTACCCCTTCATTGAAGCCTTTCCTGATGTCTCCCCATTCCCCCAGGAAGAACGTACTGTCTCCACCTCTGTTCTATAGTACCCAATGTGAGCATTATCACCCCAAAATGTTTATCTGTCCACTACCCCCACTTAATGTGGTATCTTAAAACTAAGAACTGCATTTATTCATCTTCTGCTTCACCATCATTATCAAAGCTGAGTGCCTATCCATACCATACAGTGGCTAGGTGCTCCCTTACATTTACTCAGTCCTCAAGACAATCCTGCAAGATATCCTGTTTTACAAACCAGTAAATGAAGAGCCAGAGGCTGTGTGAAATGCCCAAGGTTCCAGAAGCTGAGAAATGGAGTAGTTGAGATTGGAACCCAAGTTAGCTTGATTCCTAATCTTGTGCTCCATGCTGTACCATGAGGCAAATGGTGCTTGACACACAGTAGGTATGAAGTATCAGCTAGACTGGATCAGAAGCGGGGCAGAGTCAACCCACCTTCTTGGTGCCATAGAGTGTCTCCAGCAGCTTCTCTTGTGCAGACTCAAAGCGGTGGTCCAGGCTTGAGGTTGTCTTCTGCACCAGGTTCCAGATCAGGTAATTGTTCAGGATGCTGGCATCCAGACCAGAACATAAGGAAAAGACAGTTGGGGTGCCATTTCCACCCCAAACCAGCTCCAAAATGTGCAGGCAGCAGGCGTCTTAACAGGCATATGTGGGAGTTGTCCCAGAATCCCTCTTTGTTACCCTAGGACCATACCCCAACTTGTAGGAATCAGGCTAGAGCAAAGTATGAGAACAGAGATCATAAGTGGGCTCCCTGAAGCCCTGGCCTAGGGGGATAGCCTGCAGACATTTTGTTTGATATTTGGAAGGCTCAGGGCCTTGCCAAATGCTGCTCTATGTCTGGCTCTGCCTGTCACCTCTGCCTGGTCCCTATCTGGGACCTGCACAGAGCCCTGAGCCCAACCCCAACACTGGGGCTCCCTTCCAACCTTGGCGCCGTGTGGCTGATGAGCTCGGACACCTGCTGCAAGTAATCTGTCCCATACACCACCACAGGCTCAGAGTCACGCAGCTCCAATGGTGACAACGAGAAAGACAGGAACTCCAGCCAGTCCATAGAGGGTGCCAGGGCCTGTGAGCAAAAACGTCTCAAGCCTCCCTGCTTGCCCACCTGGCTTCCAGTAGACACCCACAACCCACAGTTGATATGCTGGAGCCTGGGAGGGGAGCCTTTCCATTGCCATGGCTACGTCTACTAGCTACTTGATAGCCACTTCTGCAATAATCCTTTTCCAGGCCTGAGTGCTCCTGAAACCAAGGGCCCAGTCACTTGTTATACAAGGAAAACAACTGTGTGTGATATACAGCTGGGGCACAGATACTCAAATGTTTTCATAACAGTTGATAAAATACCACTCCCCTGACACCACTGAAGGTCCCTAAATACCTTCTTTACCCAAATTTGCCATAAGCCAGCAACTAAAGGGTTGACACCTGGCACAATGAGAACCCTCTAGATGTGGATACATCATACAGTTGTTATAGATTTTTAACAAAGTCCCTCTACACATCCGCAGGCAATATGAAAGGGATGGCCCAGTGAGAGGTAGTAAAAAATGGACACCACTTTTCTTTCCAGGATAGTAACAGTGTAGCTGGGAAGCTCAGAAAAGCAAGGAAATGAGAAAAGGCCTCATTTGGAGTGGAAGGAAAAGGAGAGCATAAAGGGAAGCTGGGGAACTCACGCTGGGGTTGGCCCCTCCCAGCTGTCTCTATTTCCTGCCTGCCCCACCTGCAGCTCTGAGATGCTCATTTTGTGATAGATCTTCTCCTCATCCCGCCGCTGGTCCTGGGGCACTGTGATGTTGGCCAGTTGTATCTCCAGCTCTAGCACCTGCTGCATCTGCTCACGTGTGGAGGCTGGCTGTCCACCCAGCAGCACCCCTAGCTCCTCCATGTAGTCCAGGTAGGCGTTAAGTACCTGTCAAGGGCCCCAGTCATCCTCAGAGCCCAGCAACAAGTCCTGCCCAAAGCTGAGAGGGACCGCTCTGGCCACCCCCTCTGCTCACCATCTCTTCTCCTGACCCTCCTCACAGAAGCATTCTTGGGCAATCATGTTTCATTTCTGTCAGACTGTTTACCACTACTTGCTAGAAACATTTTTATTTCTTTGTGCACTTGTTTATCATCCATTTACAAAAGGAGAAGGTAAGTTCCAGGACCACGCTGTTCCAAGTCACAGCGGCTTGCTCGTTGCTGTATCCCGAAGGCCTGGAACAGTGCCTGGCACAGAGTAAGTGCCCTGTAAATATTTGTCCAGTGCATGGATCTTTTTCCCATACTGCTCTGCCTTCTCATTGCCTAAAGCCCTTCTAGTTTTCCCAGCCCAGCAGTGACCACGTGCCTTCACTTAACAGCTGAGTGGACCCACAGAGAATTTGGTCCACAGTAGCTTTAATTCCCTTCTACCTCCCATCCTACTAAGCCTCAAACTTGCTGCTTTCTCTGTGGCTCACCTCTGGTCTCTAAGGGGAGGAAAAGTACAGAAATGAAATCCTTAGTGACCACATGCATCAGAGTCTCTAGGGGGCTTTATATATAATGTGTCTTTCCCCTCACAGAAACTTTATAAAGTGGGCATTAGATGAGGAAACAAGTGTGAAAAGGTTACATGACTTGACTCATACCACAAACTAGCAGATGGCAGTGTCGAATGTGAGCCAGGCCTAATGACTCCAGGGCCACGGCTCCAGCACTACCTAGGCTGAGTACAAACTCATATTGCTTCAGCCCCTGCTGGCACTCGAGCTGCATGAGGTAGGGCCTGTTTGCCTCTAGCACACAGTAGGTGCTCAACAAATATGTGTTGAATGAAGGGATGAAAACCTGCAAATAGCCCCTCAGCACTTCTCAGCACCAGTTCCCTGTAGCCCTCCTCCCAGGGACCACTCCTCACTGTCTCCCTGAAGCCCCACCGTGGGCTCCCATAATTGCCAAAGGCCAGTTCCTCTTCCACTCTACCGAGAAGTTTTAGATCTCTTAATATCCATTCTGTGTACTTCAAATTTTCTCTTTTTGCCCTCCTCCACTCTTCTTTGCTGCTAGTGTTGGAAGAAGTTTGAGTACCAATCCACATCATTTCTGTTCCTAAGGGAGACAGTTAAGCTTAACCAGTCTTATTGCTCCCACACTCCTGCCCAACTCACTTACCCCTTTCTCTCCCTACCTTAACTTAAGACTTACTTTCAAGAGCCCTGCGCTACCCCTATTTATCCTATTTAAACCTTGTGTGCTACAGATTCCCCTAGATGCTGGCACAGGAGACTTCCTACTCAACAACACAGAACTCACTCAGAGTTGAATTGAGGCTTTCTACTGCCATTTCCCAAGTGTTGGGCCCTGTGGTTCTCTCCTTCATTCTCTAAATTCTCTCCTCCCCAACTCAGATAATATTAAAACCACATCTCTAAGGATCACTCCCCACTTTTGAGTTTCATTTTGAATTTCTTTTGTGATAAATGCTAACCTTGATCCACAATGTTCATGCATAATATGAATCTATATACCTGTTCAAAAGGACTTGACCCACTCTCTTCTCCTATTCCTATTCCCCTCTCTGGTCCATTAACAGGTCATCTGCCTTCTTACCTCAGAGCCCTTGCATAAGCTCTTCCCTTTGCCTGAACCCTCTCCTTCACCACAGCCTACCCTTACCCTAGGACTATGCTGGTTCCTACCACACACAGTCAGAACACCATGCTTCTAACAGTCCCAGCAGCTATACACAGGATAATTGCACTGAGCCATTTCATGTCTTCTCCCCACTTTAGACAATGGCAGTGTCTTGTTCACCACAGGCCAAGAAAAGGGCCTGGCTGGGGCATGGTTGGTGTTTGAAAATGAATAAAAGAAGGACAAATGACTCCCCTGTTTATCCTATGCCATGACAGTCTCTTATGCCAGCTCCCTCCTGCTGACCTTAATATAGAGAATTGCCTTCTTTCACTTCTCTGTTCTTCCCTTTTCTCTCACTTCTCCTAAGCCCTTGACTAGGTTTCTGAGGAGATGCCCTTCAAGCCCTTGGCTCCCTCCAGCCTCATCCTCTCTCCAGGACTGCACCCAGCTTCCACAGCTGCCTGCTGACCTCCCTATATAGATGGTGCCCGGGTCCCTCAAACTCATACATCTCCAATGAGAGGCTCCTCCTCCCTCAGTTCTGCCACATGCAGGAACTTAAGCTTACATCCTGCCTCCCAAGTAAGCACCCTAGGAGGTAGATGTATGATCCCCATTTTCAGATGAAGAAACAGCCTCAGAGAGCTTAATCAACTTGTACCAAGCTGCACAGATGGGATTAAAACCAAGATCTGACTCCAAAGTCTGCCCTTTTCCTGTGACATCTCAGTCTCTTCTTCCACAGTGTGCTCTCAGCAGGGTCCTCCTCCAAGCACTCCTGATTCCCTAAGGGTCCCACCACTCTACCATCAGCCTCAGCACACAGTCTCATTTACATCCTCCTCCTACACCTCTCTTCTAACATCCAGTCATGATTTGGGCTTGCTGATGTCTCTTGCATCCTTCCCCTCCCAACATTCCCTCTTCACTTCCTGTACTTGGGTCCTTACAGACTCAGAGCCTGGGGTACTGCAGAGATTCTTAACTCATCTCCAGGCTCCCTCTCTTGCATCTTCTTTTCACACCCTAGCCAAACTGGCTCCCCAAAGCACTGCTCACTAGGTCATTCCCTCCCTGCTGTGAAGCATGCAGTGGCTCTCTGAGGCCTGTGCAGTAAACTCTGCATGAACCCCCAGAGCCTCCATAACTAGTCTCTACTCACCTTTCCAGCCTGTCATCTGCTTTGAGCTCTACATTTTGCTGATCTGAACCTCTTCCCACCGTCCAAAGCAAAGCTTATCTTTTCCTGCTTCAACACTTTTGTTTAAATTCTTGTCTTTACACAGCATGCCCACACCACTCCTAGATTTCTACAGGGCCCAGCTTAAATGAAGTCTAATTAGGAAACCTTCTCTGGCTACCTGAGTCTCTCCTGAGTCTTAGAGACCCTCTTTTGGGCCTCGTTCTCAGCTATCCAGGCCCATCTATGCTGTCTCAGAAATCCGCCACTGCACTGGGCACACAGTAAGTGCCCATAAAATGTCTTCCTGGAGAAGTAAGAGGAAGGAAAGAAAGAAGGGAAGAAAGGAGGCAGGAAGGAAAGGGAAATAAGTGAAAGAAAGGAGGTACGGAAGCTAAGAAGGAAGGAGAAAGGGAGGGAGGGAGGAAGGAAGGAAGGAAGGAAGGAAGGAAGGAAGGAAGGGAGGGAGGGAGGGAGGGAGGGAGGGAGAGAGGGAAGGAGGGAAGTCAGCTCATTAGGCAACAGGATAGGCTCACCTTCCCCACTCAGACCCTGAACAAAGGGAAAAGTAAACAGAGATCAGCCCAGCTCAACATGGGGGTGGGGGCAGGTGTTCTGAGGGTGCTCCTTACTTTCTCATTGGCAGTCCTGTTTAGGTAGTAATCTCGAGAGGGTAGAAAGAGCCCAGACTGGTCCACCTGAAACAGTAAGGTAAGGAGGTGAGCCCTCCACACAGGCACCTGGACTCTTGTGCAGGGGGTGCTGTCCCAGCCTGCCTGTCATAGGGGTGGGGAATCTGGGCTCAGCAAAGAGGCCATGAGTCCCTCCCGACACTTCCCCAGCCCTGTACCTGGATAACATTGCTATTGGAACTTTTAGAGTCAGCACTGATGTAGACAGTGAAGAAGGGAGTGGCCCTGTAGGTCCCTGCTACTGCCTTCAGCACCTCCATGAAGTTGTCCTGGTCCCAGGGTCCGGTAATGTTCCAACCACCGATCTGAGTAGAGACCATGGTGGAACCTATGGCTCAGGACCCCCCAAAGCTTTCTGGGGCTACATCCTCTCCCAAGGCCTGTCCTATTCCCCCTACCTGCAGCCCACCCAGAGCCCCTACCTTGTCAATGAGGTCTCGTAGGGGCTGGGCTCCCAGCTCCTCAATGCGTTCCACCTGCAGGCAGGAGAGGTAGAAGCGCTGTGTCTTCCGCTCAGCTTCACTGCTGGAGTTGAAAGTGGTGTTTTCTGCGGGGTACAACACAGATCTGGATGGTAACATGCTAACTGCTGAGAGGTGTCCCGGGCCCTTACTTGGTCCCTCTCATTGCCTTCTCAAGGGCAGTCCTCCTAAAGTACACCCAGGAAGACTATTTGACACAGCAAAGCAAGGCTTCCCCTCCCCTGCCTGAGACCCTCAAAGATCTCTAAGCACTACAGACTCCCTGATGCCTACCACACCTCAACAGTGCTACAGAGTGAAGAGAGGAGTCCTTTCATTATACTCAAGAGATCTGGCCCCCTCAAACCCATCTCCACCTCTCTGAAGCCCCCTGCTCTCTGCATCCCCTACCCCAGGAGTGTTCACGGTCACCCACTTACTCATTCAGTTGTGGGCATTTGTGGAGTGCCTACTAAGTGCCAGGCTCTGTGCTGGGTGCGAGGCATGTACTTGCCACAGCACCTCCCTGACAGGCCCACTCACCAAGCAGGTGCTTCAGTACAGCCTGGTTCTGGTCCCAGAGGCTGTTGAAGGTGTTCCAGCGAGAACGCCCATCAGGCAGGGGGTTCCTCCGAATCCAGCCTCCACAGGAGAACTGGTAAAAATCCTCACAGGGGCTCACTCCACGGTCCAGGGACTCCAGGATTTTTCCAGCCACTCGAATGCAGGCCTCTGTGAGGCAGGTACTGTGGGATGGGTCTGTGGCAAGGGACATGGCCAAGGGGTAGGGGGGACTATCAGTCAGCCTGAGAGAGGCAAAAGTTTTGGGAAGCGCCATGACAACCGGTAAGTTGGAAAGGGAAAGGAAAGCTGAAAGACTCTCCCCAACCAGAGAAAATCTTAGTGGCCCTTCACCCTCCAGAACCCCCACAGCTAGGAGGTCTGGTGACAGGTGTGGGCCCACCTACCTCTGTGGTACTGAACCCCCAGAGCCACAAAGCAGCCTAGAAGCAATGCAGCCAGCAGTAGAGAGACACCTGCCAAGACCAGCTCCATCTGGGTGTGCGAGCCCAAAAACTGTCTTTTTCTCTTCTGGAATCCCACCTGGGGAACACAGGGTGGCAGCGAGTTAGCAAGTGGCAGGTGGGGATCCAAGATCAAGGAAATCCTGCCGGAGATGAGGGCATAGGCAGTTTCCAGAGCAATGGAGCAAGGATGTTGCAAGGGTTAATTTTGGGCGCAGGGGCCATGAGACAGGCTGAGTTGCGCGCTGAGCCTGTTTTGTGCAACGTCATGGCTTAGAATCGCCTCACCATAGTCCTAGCGCAGAGGCCAGAGACCAAGCGGAGGTGGGGACAGATGACTCTCCAGGGCAGCCCAGAGCTCCTGGGTGTGCCAGTCGTCGTCATGCCAGGGCTGGGGCCTGGTGAGAAAGAAAGAACCCCCTTGCCCACCTCCACGGCGTCCGGGGAGGCCCCGCCCTCTACGGGGGTCTCAGGCGCGTCTTCATCCCGCAGCGTGGCCCGTTTGTACTCCACCATCTGCCAGACAGTCGGGGGCGCCAGCCGAGGTCAGGCAGAGAGGGCTGTTGGCCCACGGCCCTGCCCCAATGCCCCTCGCTAACCGGGCCCCTCTTGCCTGCAGTGAGGGCCCCTTCCCTCCTGCCCAGCTCTCCGGCCTAGGGTGCCCCCGCCCTCCACCCTCAAGCACGCAGCCCCTTCTCCCAGAGCGGGAGGCCCTGCCCAACGCCGCCTGCCCCTCTCCCTCACACCCTTCCACCTGCCCCCCTCCCCACCAAAGTCCGGGGCCCCCACTCACGTTGTCGCCGCCGCCGCCCAGCTCCTGCAGCGCGACGTTCATGGTGGAGTTGGGGCAGGCAGCCCCTCAGGGCTCCGGGCGGCTGGCCCTCGCCCGGGCCGCGGCCTCGGCCCCCGGTCCGGCCCCGCCGCCGCCAGCCATCACAGCCGCTGCCACAGCCCCTCGCTCCGCCACCGCCGCCGCCGCTTGCCCCGGCCCCCCTCCTCCGCGGCGAAGCGCCCGAGGAGGGGGTAAAGTTGGGGGGAGGAGCGCGCCCGCCTCTCCCTGCCGTCCGCCCTGCGCCCAGACCAAGCTCGGGGCCCGCCCTGCTGAGCTGAGAGTCCCCTGCCACCCCAGCCGAGCGAGCCGCCTTCCAAAAACGCCGGGGACCCTTTCTCCTCTCCATAGTCAGCGCCCCATACCAGTAACATCCTCTTGCAAACCACTCTTTGACCCAGGCCCAAACCCTGCTGATATTTCTTGGCCCAGTTCCCCAAATTGCAGGCCCTCCCCATCCCCTTTAAATACCTCTGAGAAATTATGTTCACAGGGGGAGCAACTGTCTGCACAACTCTTCAGCCCCACATACAGAGCGGCACACTGGAGTTGACCCTCATACAGGGTGTTCACACGATACACCTAACGCAGGAAGCAGCATCCCAAGGTACAGAGGCAGGCACTCAACCCAACACCGTCCATACATACGCAAAACACAGAATGTACACCCTGAACACTCACACACATAACACAAGGCACAGAGCCAACACATAAACTACAATGTTGTTCTGTAGACACACACAACACATATACAGCACACGCAGCCCATATACTCTGACTCCACTCCCACATGTTGCTTCAAGACTATGCTTTTCTACTCCCCAAGATAATTGTTGTCATCAGATCATCTCACAAAGGGAAGATTCCAGATGGTGACAAGTTGGCTGGGAAAAAAACAGCCATGCACAGATATTTAAAGAAAAGACATGCTAACACTTCTAACTTAAGGAAAGCAAACCATTCTATTTGGGAGGTTTACAAGAAAAAAAAAAAAACCTCCAAGCAATATTTAACTGAAAGGCGGTAGTGTAGCATCTATGTATCTGCCATCTGTCTTCCATATTGTTATTCCTTAATCAGGCCTGGTAGTGTGGCAGTCTGCTGCACTAAGGAGTGCCTAGTGGGGTTTTTTTTTGCCACCATTTATTAAAAAGTGCCTAATTCTCTTCCATCCTCCCCAACAGACTACACGAATTTGACCTGAGAAGGTCTGGAATGGTGGCAAATCCATAATCCATTTCTTGATTCTCACCTCAGTTTTCAGACAGCTTGCTGAAACTGTTTCTACCATGCACTGCTCTTGTGGCTAAGGAAGAGTGGGTGGAGGATGAATGGATCAGGCTGAGAAATGTTGCATTGCTTTCTTCAGTATTTTCTTTTTTTCTTTCTTTATTTTTTATTTATTTTTGGGGGTATCATTTTAAATGAACAACTTTGTGGTTACTAGATTCCCCCCATTATCAAGTCCCACCACATACCCCATTACAGTCATTGTCCATCAGTGTAATAAGATGCTATAGAATCACTAGTCTTCTCTGTGTTGTTGTACAGCCCTCCCCGTGCCCCCACCCACATTATGTGTGCTAATCATAATGCCCCTTTTTCCCCTTATTCCTCCCTTCCCACCCATCCTCCCCAGTCCCTTTCCCTTTGGTAACTGTTAGTCCATTCTTGGGTTCTGTGAGTCTGCTGCTGTTTTGTTCCTTCAGTTTTTTCTTTGTTCTTATACTCCACAGATGAGTGAAATCATTTATTTGTCTTTCTCTGCCTGGCTTATTTCACCGAGCATAATACCCTCTTAGCTCCATCCATGTTGTTGCAAATTGTAGGATTTGTTTTCTTCTTATGGCTGAATAATATTCCATTGTGTATATGTACCACATCTTCTTTATCCATTCATCTACTGACGGACACTTAGGTTGCTTCCATTTCTTGGCTATTGTAAATAGGGCTGCTATAAACATAGGGGTGCATGTGTCTGTTTCAAACCGGACTCCTGCATTCTTAGGGTCAATTCCTAGAAGTGGAATTCCTGGGTCAAATGGTATTTGTATTTTGAGTTTTTTGAGGAACCTCCATACTGCTTTCCACAATGGTTGAACTAATTTACATTCCTACCAGCAATGTAGGAGGGTTCCCTTTTCTCCACATCCTCTCCAACGTTTGTTGTTGTTTGTCTTTTGGATGTTTGTCTTTTGGATGTTAATTCCATCACACCATCAAGAAGAAAGAAGGCTGGAAGAAAGAAAATGAAAGAAAGGAAAGAAAGGAAGAAAAGGGAGACATCCTAACTGGTGTGAGGTGATATCTCATTGTGGTTTTAATTTGGATTTCTTTGATCTTTTCATGTGCCTGTTGGCCATCTGAATTTCTTCTTTGGAGAAGTGTCTGTTTAGATCCTCTGCCCATTTTTCAGTTGGATTATTGCTTTTTGTTTGTTGAGGTGCATGAGTTCTTTGTATATTTTGGATGTCAACCCCTTATCAGATATGTCATTTATGAATATATTCTCCCATACTGTAGGATGCCTTTTTGTTCTACTAATGGTGCCCTTTGCTGTACAGAAGCTTTTTAGTTTGATATAGTCCCACTTGTTCATTTTTGCTTTTATTTTCTTACCCGTGGAGATATGTTCATGAAGAAGTTGCTCATGTTTATGTCCAAGAGAGTTTTGCCTATGTTTTTTCCTAAGAGTTTTATGGTTTCATGACTCACATTCAGGTCTTTGATCCATTTTGAATTTACTTTTATATATGGGGTAAGACAATGATCCAGTTCCATTCTCTTACATGTAGCTGTCCAGTTTTGCCGACACCGGCTGTTGAAGAGGCTGTCATTTCCCCATTGTATATCTATGGATCCTTTATTGTATATTAATTGACCATATATGTTTGGATTAATATCTGTTTCTTCAATATTTTCCACCTCAAAAGTGCATGTTCTCAAATAGGAGACAACACAGGGTCATAGTTAGGATGAAAGATTCTGGATTCTAACTCAATTCCCTCACTTGTAAAGTTGAAATAAAAATAGTACCCATGACTAATCTATTTTATAATTTGAAGTTTGTACCTCTTTATCCCCTTTCACTTATTTCACCCATTTCTACCCCACCCCCCACCATGGCAACCACCAGGAAGTACAACATAAGGAAGATAGCCAGTAATATTGTAATTTCTTTGTATGTTTCTTATTGTGGTAAGCATTTAGTAATGTATATAATTGTTGAATTACTACGTTGTACATCTTAAACAAATATAATACTGTACATAAACTGTATTTCAATAAAAAGAAAGAAGAATAGTACCTATTTCAAAGCATGCTTGTGAGAATTAAATGAAACAATAATTGTAAGTGCTTAGGACAGTGTCCAGCACATAATCGGCATTCAATGTGTCCGCTGCTATTATTATTATTATTATTTTTATTTTTAATCCTATAGGTAGAAATAAGCCTGGAGGAAGTAAAGGGAGCCTGAAGGAAGCCTGCTCTATATTCCAGATGGCAGAGTAGGCAGATGGGTTCTAGGTTAGTGAGGGATTCCCTGAGCAAGGAACTTTCACATCCAGCCCTACTAGGATCTGCAGCAACAAGGCCTTGGGATATCCACATGGGACAAGTCGCTGGAATGTTCCTGTTCACTTTGATAGCAATGTGCCATCACAGCACTCATCTCTTCTTTCCCCTGCAAAGCTGGATGAAGGGAAACATGGCAGCAGAGTCAGTTTTGTCTTATGGGAAATTCCATCATGACATGGTCAAGAGAGTGTAACCAAAGCTACTGTATAAGGACTTCCTGGCAACAGGCTCATTAAAAATAGTCCCATGGCTGCTACAATGTTGTGTTGGAAATAGCAAACTTATCCAGCACTTCAGTGTGCCAGCTGTTTGTTCTAGGTGCTTTACATCTATGTACTCAGTTACCCTCATGGCACTTAGGAAGCCATTTTACAGATGAGGAACCCGAGGTATAGAGAGGCCAAGAGTCACACAGCCACTAAGTAGCAGAGCAGGGATTCAAATACAGCCAGTATGGCTCCTTTCTGGAGAGCAGTTTGGCAATATGAATCAAAAAGGGGATATAATTCCTCCCAACATTAGTTGCTAGTCTTCTGCCACATACTCTCTGGAAGAGTAAGGGGAAACATCAGTTTTTAAGACAGGCAGGCCTAGTCTCAAATCTGAGCTCAATTTTTTATTAGCTTTATGATCTTTATCAAGTTACTTGAAAGGTCTGATCCTTAGTTTTCTTCATCTGTAAAATGGGAACAATCATTTCAGAGAATTTCTGTGAGAATTAAATGCAGTTGCATATGAAAATGCCTGGTACCTAGTTTCACAGCAGTCTCAGTTTCACTAATCTTGGTCTAAATGGACATTTCCTTTCCATGCCTCTTTCATAGCCCAGATCATTTACTAGGGTCATAACTATTTCTGACTACATGTTAAATATCCTAGTATAAGAGGCTTGGAGGCTGCTCCATTCTATAATTCTGTTTTCCTTCCTCAGTGTTTATCACCTCTGACTCTTTTTACTCTCTCATTCTATTATTCTTCTGTCTCTTGTCTCATCTTTTCCTACAGGAGTAATTTTTCTTTTGGTTGTTTTTATTCCCCCCTCACCTGATGATGAATCAAGAGGGAATGGACAATGGTTTATGTGTTAAATTTACAAGGGCAATGTAGTCATGAAGATAACAAGAAACATTAATGTCCAATGTTGACAAAGATAGGGAATATGGGCACTCACATATTGCTAGTGGCTTATAAATTAATACAATCTTTTGGTGAATCAAAAGGTATGTGTATATACTCTTTGACCCAGAAGGTCTAATTTTAGGAAATTGTTGCAGGAAATAATCATTTTCCATAGGGTGTTTGTATCAATTAGCTTTTGCTGCATAACCAACCTCCCTTGCAAACTTCATAGATTAAAATAGCAAAACATTTTTTAGCTGTGGGTTGGCTGAGTGTTTCCTCAGGTCTGGGTCAGCTCAGCAGGAGCTGAATGGTCTAGCTGAATGGCCTCACTTACATGTCTGGACCTCAGCTCGAATGACTGGGTTCTCTGTCTCCATACAGTCTCTATTCCTCCAGTAGAGTAGCCCAGGCTTCTACATATATGGTGTAGGATTCCAAGCAACAAAAAATGGGGCAAGACCCCAGTATATAACCACTTTACAAGCTCTGTTTGCATCACATTTGCTAATGTCTCTATGGGGTACAAGTCAGATGGTCAAGTCCAGATTCAGGGATGAAGATATAGACTTTACTTCTTGATTGAGGAGCTACAAAATATTGACAGCTGCAACATTTGTCCATCACAGCACTGTCTGTAATCACAACAACAACAAAGGGTGTTGGTAGTAGTGGAATTCAATGCCTGAGTAGAGGACTTGCAATGCAACATCCATACAATGCATCATCTACAAATTGTGGAAAAGAAGAGTAATGCTATGGGAAGTGTTCTTAAATAGAGTTAAGTGGAAGAGAAAAAGGACTACAAAATCTGTTTGTGAAGCAAAAAAATATAAAAGCACAAGTCAAAATTGGAAGGACATGGAACAAAATGTTAATATGAGTATATCTAATGATGAGATTATTTTTAACTTCTTCCTTATGCTTTTGTGTATAATAATAGCTAACAATCTATTGCCCAGAACTTACCTAAGCACTTTATAAAGGTTAACTTATTCAGTCCTTTCAATGACCAAGTAAGATAGGGTTTACCAGTATCCTTGTCCACATTTTACAGATAAGGAACCTAAGACACAGGGAAAATTAATAACATCCCCAAAGTTACACATCAGGTAGAAGGCAGATCCTTGATTTGAATCTAAACTCCATGCTTTTAACTACTATTCTCCTAAGTCAATCGATTTGTCTGGGGCCAGAGTGTGATGTTTGGTAAGTGGGCTATATCATAGGTTTGAAATTTATAAAAAAATTAAAACCTTTCTATATAAAAGCAATATACTCCAGAAGTATATAGAGAAAAAAATAAAATTCATTCTGCTGGAGTTCCAGTATCTTCCTCAGAGATAACCATTATTAGCAATTTGCTATGTATCCTCCTAGATCTTTCTTTTATATGCATATTATATACTATGTGTGTGCACATGTGTATGCATATATGTGTGTATACTTCCTTCACATATGTGAAATCATACTATACATTTGTTATTTGGTGACATTTTGGTAGGTCTTAGAGATCTCATCATGTCAATCCACACAGATCTACCTCATTCTTTTTGTGATTTATCAACCTCTGCTAAATAGAATGAGTCCCAGAAATACCCTCATGGTGTGGGCTACCTTCAAGCGGACAGGGTGAGAGCAAAGGGCCCCCAGAGAGAGTTTAAGAAAGGAGAAACATGGTCATGAGAAATGTAAAAAGATGAGTCAAATATATTTCTAACAGGGTATATTTGTTTCCTAGGATTGCTATAACTAAGTACCACAAATTGTGTGGCTTAAGACAACAGACCCTTATTCTCCCACAGTTCTAAAGGCAAAAAGTCCAAAATCAAGATATTGGCAGAGCCATACTCCCTTGGATGGCTCTAGGGAAAAATACTTCTTCGCTTTTTCCAGTTGCTTGTGGCTTCCAGCAATCCTTGTTATTTGGCTTATAGCTGCCTCATTCCTATCTGCTTCCTCACATGGCCTCTGTCCCTGTGTTTATGTGTCTTGTGCATCTGTCCTAATCGTATAAAGACACTGGTTACTGGATTTAGGGTCCACTTTAATCCAGTATGACCTCATTTGATTTAGCTAATAACACCTTACATTATGAGGTTCCAGGTAGACATGAATTTTAGGGAGGATAAAAGTGCCATTATATTCAATTGTCAAAAGGCATATTATCCTGTTTGAACTTATGGACCAAGTCCACTAGGTTTTAAGGGATTTTCAACTGAGAAATTCAATGCACTGTCACAAAATTCCAAAGAAACATTATTTCATTTTAGCTGTGAACATGAATCTTCATCTCATAGGCCAAAATGCAGAACATCAGAATTTTACGCAGAGGATCATAATTTAAAGAAGTTCCCCACGATTTTACACATAGTGAAGCTTATAGATCTCTATATTTCACAATTTTGTACTTAGGCCTTTTGCTTTAATCATGATCCAGCATGCACAGCAGAGATGGGACTAAGGTTATTTAAGAAGGAGCTAACCAAATGAATTCCAAGTTGTATAGTTATTCCTCCAAATTCCCTCATTCTGGGGGGAGAAAGAATTGTTTCAATTCCCCACTACTACTCTCATCTCATCCTTGGCAAGAACCTTCATGGCCCCATTAGCACTTTGGGGCATGTGGTATTACCTCCTGAGACAACCCGTTTCACCACAGGGCAACAGTTTCATCTACAAAACTGTCCTTAAGGTAGGTTTTATCATCTCTATGCTTCAGATTAAAACAAGAAGTCTCAGAGAGGTATGCATAATATACAAATACATGAGATTGGAAGGATATGTATCAAGGTTTTGTGAGATTTCCCATATTTTCCTAAAATGTTTCGAATACAATGAATAAACTTTCAAAAACTGCAATTATGGGGCCTTCAGCTCAAGGTCACACAAACGGTGGCAGAGCCAGGACCGGAACCCATTCCTGGCCAACCTCCAGTAGGAGTGTAACTTTCTGGACTCTCTTTCAGTGATCCTGAGCGCCAACCTCTCTTGTTTCAGATTCCAGGGCTCCTCTCAGTCCAGCTGGGGCTCCATGTCCAGTTTTGGCCCATCCCAGAGACTAGTAGGACACCGCAGAAGAGGGTTGGTAAGGATGAACCGCAAGTCTGGTGCCTTGAGTGAGGCTTGCACTGAGGCACTCCCCTTTCCCCTCCATCCTGGTCCATGGTTCCTCCACCACTGCATTAGCTTCTATATCCTGGAACTAACACCTTGTGAGGAGTTGGAAGGAGACCCGACACCAGGCAGCCTCACTATGTGGTGATTTGGTGGGTAGGAGATAAAGTGCTTCAAGTAAGTGGAAACCCCTCCGCTTCCAGTTGGGACTGAACTTACGGGGTGATTATTACCCTTATCAGCGCTATCGTCACTTGTCGCCGAGTGTGATACAACCCCCGACCCCTTCCCAGGTTGGTGATTGCGCCAGAGTCCCCACACTGTCTAACCAGCGGGTGACGCCGCGGCTGACGGCAGCTGGGGGAGGGGAAGAAGAAGTAGTGTGTCCCCGTAGGAACTCAAGAGAACGGTCCTCGGAGGCAAGAATTATCACGTGATCCTCCGCAACGCTGGCAAGGGGCGCCCTCTGCCCCTCCTTCTCTACTTCCGAACACACGCGGGCGCGCGCCGCGTCCTAAGGTGCTCCGGGCTACCCCGCGACACCGGCAGCCACAGCGCCCCCGCGACGCCACCATTCGTTCTTTTTACATGGCTTGCGCAGCGCGGACCTCCGGGGCAGGGAGAACCGCGGGGCACCGCAGATGCTTTAGGCCGGAGTTTCCGCTCCAGCAGCAGGGCTGGGGTTGGAAGGGGTCCTACCCTGGTGGGAGCGCGTCGGCCCAGTTACTTAGACCCTTCCTAGAAGAGATCGAGATACAGACACTCCGGATATAGAAACACAATGGCACGTAGGTAACGGAGTCAAACACGGAGACAGATGCAGAAGAGCAGACACTTAGGAGAGACATAGAAACCGTGGCACAAGGAGATGTGCGTACAGAAAAGATAGACACTTGGAGGTAGACTGACGTACAGATTGGCAGAGACAGAAACAGAAAGCAGTCAGGGAAACTGACGAACAGTTTTAAGAGCCGGAGAGCAACCCGATACAACAGCGCGCTAACAGCAGGACCTTCAGCGGGCCTGAGTTATTCTCACATGCAGCGGGTTCGGTCAGTCCCACACACCTCAACCGGTACCAGACTCTCCGCAGCATTTCCGGTGCACACACACCCCCACCCTTGGAACGTCGGCTCAGATCCTGCCTTTCGGCCCCGACCAGCCCCCAGTGCCCAGTCCCAGTTGCTCGCCTCTTGTAGCTCCGTGCCAGACTCTCCTTCCACCCCGCGGTGCTGGGCTCGCTCTCGCCTCCCCCTCCCTGAGTCCCGCATCTTCCCGCCAGATCCTGAACCCATTGGCCCATACTATTTGCCCAGCCCGCACTCCCGCCTGCGGACAGGACCCTCCCACTGCCGCTTCCTAGCCTACCCGAGAGCCTGGCGCGCTCCCGCTACCCCCACACCCCTGCCCCGCCTCCCCTCTCTCCCCAGGCCGGTGCCCGCCCCACCTCCACCGCGCCCCGCCCGCCGCGCTCTGCGGCAGTCGGACGCTCATCGTCATTCCGCTCTCGCCGCCGCCGCCGCCACCCCCGCGCCCGCCCCCAAGCACACCGCCTCCGCCCCGGTCCCTGTCACCGCCGCCGCCGCCTGTCCAGCGGCCCGGGAGGCGGAGGCGCGGGGGAGGAGGCCCCGCTTGGCTCTGCAGCCCCGGATGCTGCATGACTTCATCTTTCCGCCGGCTTCCCTGCTGAACTAGGGCCGGTCCGGCAGCTAGCGCGCCGCCCGAGCCCCGCCGCAGTCCCGCGCCCACCCCGCGCCCGCCATGTCCGAGATCCTGCCCTACAGTGAGGACAAGATGGGCCGCTTCACCGCCGACCCCGAGGGCTCCGACCTCTCCTTCAGCTGCCGCCTGCAGGACACCAACTCCTTCTTCGCGGGCAATCAAGCCAAGCGACCCCCCAAGCTGGGCCAGATCGGCCGAGCCAAGAGAGGTATGCGGCTGGGGCCCGGAGTAGCCGCTTGACCCAGAAATCCTCCACTGGGCGCCCCTCGGCTGCAGTTCCCCGCCAAGCGCGCTCAGCTCTTGCCGCAGACCAGCGCAGCCAGTCGTTCGCTGGCCGGTGCTTGCTGGGGGCTGGGGGTGGGGGGTGACACCGCTGCAGTGTTGTGTCCCCCTCTTCCCCTCTCCCGGGAGCGCAGTGGCCCGGATTCGATGCTCGCCACCTCTGGAAGTAGAGCCCTGGCACCCGGGCGAGGGGGAGGGGACCGCCCAGGCATTTGGGGCCGCCTGAAAGTGGGAACGTGGGACAACCAGTCTCTTCTTCAGAATCAAACGTTGAATCGGTAGACGCTACGGAAGAACCTTCGGGTGGGGAGGGACGTCCGATTGGAAAGAGAGAAGGGGGAGCCGGGGTTCGGTTGTCCTGATTGTTTGCATGGGGAGGGGAGCTGTTGGTACCAGAACTGGGAAAAGGGCTCAAACTGCAAGAGGGTTAGCTGGGTTGGGGAAAAGGCTGGACAAACTGGAGATTGTGATTGAGGAGGGGGTTCTGTTGTGAGATGAGGGTTGAAGAGAGGTAACCGCATAAGCAGAAGGTCCCAGATTAGCTCGGATGGAGGAGAGTTCAGGTGGCGGGAGGGTTTGGACTGGGACGATGAACGGCTGGAGCCTTTGGAAGAAGGGGGCGTTCTTCCACAGGGAGGGGCGGGGAAGAGTCTGTGGGAGTTGGGTTTAGCAGTGGCTTGAGTCAGCATCAGGAGGACACTGTAGCACGGGGATCCGAGGGTCGTCGCTGGGCCACCAGCAGTAGCTGAGGGGGGTGAGGACCCGGGGCCCTTTCTCGCCGCCGCCCCCCGAGGCCGCGCGGCTGACGCGCTTTCTCCCTGCGCAGTGGTGATCGAGGATGACCGGATAGACGACGTGCTGAAAGGGATGGGGGAGAAGCCACCGTCCGGAGTGTAGACGCGCCGGCTCGCGCGGCAGGCTCCGGGCCCAGCCCCGCAGCGGCCACGAGCGCGGGCCGGCGATGCGGCTGTCGGCGTCCCCCGCCCCGGCCCAGGCGCCCGCGGGCGGGGGCTGCAGGGCCGCGCAGCCTCCGGGTGAGAGTGGCTGCCGCCGCCGCCAGGCACCCCGGAGCTGTCCGCTTCAGCACCACGGCGGCGGCGGTAGCGGCGGCGCGGACCCGCCCGGAGCCCGCCGCCGCGCTCATGCACTTTAGAACTTCGGGCCGCAGCCCGACCCCGCACACCGGAACGGACACGGAGATCCGCGGCCCTCAGCCCCCGGCCCGCCCCCTCCCGCACGGCTCCCTGCCCCACCCCTCTCCGGCCGTTCTGGTCTGCAGAGCCGGCAGCCTGCCGGTGTTGGACCGCGTACGCGGCCAGGGATGTTTGGCTGCGTATTTTGCATGAGCTTCCCACCCACCTGAGCCCGCTCCTCACCTCCACCCGTCTGGCGTTGCTCCAGCAGCAGGGCTGGGGTTGGAAGGGGTCCTACCCTGGTGGGAGCGCGTCGGCCCAGTTACTTAGACCCTTCCTAGAAGAGATCGAGATACAGACACTCCGGATATAGAAACACAATGGCACGTAGGTAACGGAGTCAAACACGGAGACAGATGCAGAAGAGCAGACACTTAGGAGAGACATAGAAACCGTGGCACAAGGAGATGTGCGTACAGAAAAGATAGACACTTGGAGGTAGACTGACGTACAGATTGGCAGAGACAGAAACAGAAAGCAGTCAGGGAAACTGACGAACAGTTTTAAGAGCCGGAGAGCAACCCGATACAACAGCGCGCTAACAGCAGGACCTTCAGCGGGCCTGAGTTATTCTCACATGCAGCGGGTTCGGTCAGTCCCACACACCTCAACCGGTACCAGACTCTCCGCAGCATTTCCGGTGCACACACACCCCCACCCTTGGAACGTCGGCTCAGATCCTGCCTTTCGGCCCCGACCAGCCCCCAGTGCCCAGTCCCAGTTGCTCGCCTCTTGTAGCTCCGTGCCAGACTCTCCTTCCACCCCGCGGTGCTGGGCTCGCTCTCGCCTCCCCCTCCCTGAGTCCCGCATCTTCCCGCCAGATCCTGAACCCATTGGCCCATACTATTTGCCCAGCCCGCACTCCCGCCTGCGGACAGGACCCTCCCACTGCCGCTTCCTAGCCTACCCGAGAGCCTGGCGCGCTCCCGCTACCCCCACACCCCTGCCCCGCCTCCCCTCTCTCCCCAGGCCGGTGCCCGCCCCACCTCCACCGCGCCCCGCCCGCCGCGCTCTGCGGCAGTCGGACGCTCATCGTCATTCCGCTCTCGCCGCCGCCGCCGCCACCCCCGCGCCCGCCCCCAAGCACACCGCCTCCGCCCCGGTCCCTGTCACCGCCGCCGCCGCCTGTCCAGCGGCCCGGGAGGCGGAGGCGCGGGGGAGGAGGCCCCGCTTGGCTCTGCAGCCCCGGATGCTGCATGACTTCATCTTTCCGCCGGCTTCCCTGCTGAACTAGGGCCGGTCCGGCAGCTAGCGCGCCGCCCGAGCCCCGCCGCAGTCCCGCGCCCACCCCGCGCCCGCCATGTCCGAGATCCTGCCCTACAGTGAGGACAAGATGGGCCGCTTCACCGCCGACCCCGAGGGCTCCGACCTCTCCTTCAGCTGCCGCCTGCAGGACACCAACTCCTTCTTCGCGGGCAATCAAGCCAAGCGACCCCCCAAGCTGGGCCAGATCGGCCGAGCCAAGAGAGGTATGCGGCTGGGGCCCGGAGTAGCCGCTTGACCCAGAAATCCTCCACTGGGCGCCCCTCGGCTGCAGTTCCCCGCCAAGCGCGCTCAGCTCTTGCCGCAGACCAGCGCAGCCAGTCGTTCGCTGGCCGGTGCTTGCTGGGGGCTGGGGGTGGGGGGTGACACCGCTGCAGTGTTGTGTCCCCCTCTTCCCCTCTCCCGGGAGCGCAGTGGCCCGGATTCGATGCTCGCCACCTCTGGAAGTAGAGCCCTGGCACCCGGGCGAGGGGGAGGGGACCGCCCAGGCATTTGGGGCCGCCTGAAAGTGGGAACGTGGGACAACCAGTCTCTTCTTCAGAATCAAACGTTGAATCGGTAGACGCTACGGAAGAACCTTCGGGTGGGGAGGGACGTCCGATTGGAAAGAGAGAAGGGGGAGCCGGGGTTCGGTTGTCCTGATTGTTTGCATGGGGAGGGGAGCTGTTGGTACCAGAACTGGGAAAAGGGCTCAAACTGCAAGAGGGTTAGCTGGGTTGGGGAAAAGGCTGGACAAACTGGAGATTGTGATTGAGGAGGGGGTTCTGTTGTGAGATGAGGGTTGAAGAGAGGTAACCGCATAAGCAGAAGGTCCCAGATTAGCTCGGATGGAGGAGAGTTCAGGTGGCGGGAGGGTTTGGACTGGGACGATGAACGGCTGGAGCCTTTGGAAGAAGGGGGCGTTCTTCCACAGGGAGGGGCGGGGAAGAGTCTGTGGGAGTTGGGTTTAGCAGTGGCTTGAGTCAGCATCAGGAGGACACTGTAGCACGGGGATCCGAGGGTCGTCGCTGGGCCACCAGCAGTAGCTGAGGGGGGTGAGGACCCGGGGCCCTTTCTCGCCGCCGCCCCCCGAGGCCGCGCGGCTGACGCGCTTTCTCCCTGCGCAGTGGTGATCGAGGATGACCGGATAGACGACGTGCTGAAAGGGATGGGGGAGAAGCCACCGTCCGGAGTGTAGACGCGCCGGCTCGCGCGGCAGGCTCCGGGCCCAGCCCCGCAGCGGCCACGAGCGCGGGCCGGCGATGCGGCTGTCGGCGTCCCCCGCCCCGGCCCAGGCGCCCGCGGGCGGGGGCTGCAGGGCCGCGCAGCCTCCGGGTGAGAGTGGCTGCCGCCGCCGCCAGGCACCCCGGAGCTGTCCGCTTCAGCACCACGGCGGCGGCGGTAGCGGCGGCGCGGACCCGCCCGGAGCCCGCCGCCGCGCTCATGCACTTTAGAACTTCGGGCCGCAGCCCGACCCCGCACACCGGAACGGACACGGAGATCCGCGGCCCTCAGCCCCCGGCCCGCCCCCTCCCGCACGGCTCCCTGCCCCACCCCTCTCCGGCCGTTCTGGTCTGCAGAGCCGGCAGCCTGCCGGTGTTGGACCGCGTACGCGGCCAGGGATGTTTGGCTGCGTATTTTGCATGAGCTTCCCACCCACCTGAGCCCGCTCCTCACCTCCACCCGTCTGGCGTGACCCCAGCCTCAGCCTCTTTCTAAGGGACTTCCTCACACATTTGTATTTTTATATCCGATTCTTTGTTTACTGGCGCCTCTCATGGTTCGTGCCCTCCCCATATGGTCTCAGCCACACTCTTCTGCGCCTGGCAGATAGGACGGGTGTTGAGGCTGGGATGGGACAAGTCCCTAACATGGTAACCAACCACATGGCCAGTCTGCCCAGGCCTGACCCCCGGCAGCTCTCTGGCAAACCCCTTCTCTCAAGATATCACCTTCCAAGGGCCAGGTCTGATTTTACCTTGGACCCCTTTGTCCTGCCCCTGGGAACCCAAATGGGGACTGCTCTGCACCTCTGGATGACACCTGTGGCCCTGGAGCTGTTCTCAACCCAGGGGTGCCCTTTGTAAATGTTCCTCCATCCTCACTGTACCAGGAGTGTGTGAATAAACACAGACCTCCCTGTGCGTGTGTGTGTGGCCGCTGCTTTGGTCTGCCCAGAGCCAGGCCAAAGTGGCTCCAATACTTTTTGTGGAAGGGGGCAGGTACTCCAGTGCATGTTGCTGGCAGGGAAGGGTTGCCAAGTAAACAGACTGGCCAGCCTGGCCATGAACATCGTTATCAATGTAGCCTCTTTGAGTAAATACACACCCTAAGCAGGATAATCACCAGAGTTGGTGAAACTGGGGTCAGAAGGAAAAAGCAATTTTGATTTAAAGTGTGCAGCCTCCTGTGTATAAATCTGGGTTGTGGGGGGGACTGGTCCCAGTGTAGTGGTTTTGGTCAGTAACAGGCCCCAGGGATGCAGGTCGCTGAGTGTGGTTGACCTGCTGAAGGGTTATGCTGAGTTTTGACCCTGGAAATGAATCACTGTTGATTCAGTATGGTGAGGGAAGAAGTTAAGGAAGCCAAAAACTAGGGACTTGGGATCTAGTTTGAGCTGGCCTGTATTTCATGTGGGATTGCTTCTATCAGCTCTGTGTTGGGCATGAGGTTCCTGGGATGTGAGCACCTTGGACCCAGCCCTAATCCCTGAGTCAGGAATTCCAACTATTGAGGAGCCCAGGGCAAAAGGCAGAGAGGGCTGGAGGACCACGCTTCTGGCCTCACAGCTGAATGGCACCTAGAAAGTCCTCATGATCTGAGTCCTGGAGGAAGCAAGGTGAGGTGGGAGGTCTGGGGGGTGAGAGGATTTGGGCCCCAAGGGCCTGCTGGGCCACACTGAGCTCTTTGCCCTTCTGCATGAGGTAGAGATGGAAGTGGAAACCACTGCCATAGGTTGCATGCCTCAGAGACCAGCCATAACAGGCTTGGGCATAGTGTCTGGTCCGAAAGTGGGGGGCAGCAGAGGTCAGTGAGATGAAGCGGCCCCCGGTGACCAGCACCCGGCTCACCTGCAAGGCAGACAGAGAAGCCATTGGTGAAGAGTGCATTTCTAGGTTCTTAAAGGTTGGTATTGCCCCAGGTACCCTCCCAGGTACTATTCTACATCCAGTAGTTCAGGCAAAGACCAGTTCTTTGCCCCTGGTCATTCCATAGGGGTAGGGCTATAATTCTAGACAGGTAGGAGCATGGGAGTGATGTCAGGTACAAGAGGCACTGCTTTCCTGCCAACGGCTCCCCCTCCCAATCTGCATTACCTGTCTAGAACTTGGCAGCTACTTCATCCCTATGGCAACCCAGTAGCCAATCATCAGCCCCTGTGAACCTGACCACTCCAGCCCCTTATAATCTTGACCCATCTTAAGCCTCTCCTTCCTTCAGGTAACCACAATCCTGAGGGTGACCCACCACCTGCTTCAAATCATGCCTCCTTCTGGCTTCTCAATTCTTTCAATCTCCTGAAACCTCAACCTCTCATCCCTACCTTCTGGTCTGCCCTCCTCTCTCGTAGTTCCCTCACCTCACTCAGCACCTGGTTCACAGTGTGGATACCTTCAGAAGACACGGTCCAGGGATCTTGTTCTCCAGCCAAAAGAGCATCCAGTGTGCCCTTCTCAAGTACCACATTGAAGGAGCCACTGGGGAAGTCCAGTGCCCGCACATCCATGGTCTCCCAGCGCAGCTTGGGCACGTGGGCATAGCGAGTTCTCATGGCAGCCACCACTACTGATGAGTAGTCCACACTGGTCACATCAGGGAAGCCCCCAAGGAACAGCTCGTAGCTCAGGGCACTGTTCCCACAGCCTGGGATGTGGGGTGGCAAAATGGCTAGGTTAGCTTGGTTCTCCCCTCTCCAGTTATCCATCCACTCTTGGCCCATTTTCTCTCAGTTCAAACCCTTCTGTACTGAGGAAGAAGTGCTATGGTATAGAAAAGACCATGAGCCTTGGAATCAGACAAGCCTGGGCACATGCCTGGCTCTATCATTCCTAGCTGTGTGGACTAGGGCAAGTTGTTTATATACTAGGAATTCGGATTTCATACTCAGAAAAGTGAAGATAACAATACCTAGCCTACTTGCCAGATGGAGAATAGCTGAAGGAGCTCTGAATTTAGGAGTTCAAAGATCTGAGTTCTGATATTCCTAGTCACATGGCAAGGCATGTGCCATGGCAAGTCATTCAATTCTAAGCCTCAGTTTCCTCAAACTCAGAGTGGGAATAACATTGGCATCAAGAGGACCAAAATTATGAGGATAATACTAGTATTATCCTAATCCCTAGCTTCTCTGAGAACCTCTGACAGTGTCAGCCCTGGGAAGATTCATGTTAGGGGTTATTATCCTACTTTGGTTTCCAAGACAGAGTTAACAAGTGAAGGGGAAACTAGGTGGGGACACAGTGGAGCTGATCCCTTGTAATTCCTTGATGTCTGTATTGAGCACTACATATTGGGTTCTGCTGATGAATAACCCCTTTAAGGGGCTCATGCTTTAGTGGGAGGAACAGATATGCAATCAGGCAATTGCCATGTAACGGGAGAAGTGTTTTAGTAGGGACAGGCTGTGAGAACACATAGGATGGCCCCTGTCCCCACCTCCGGCAGGTTGGCCAAGGGTTTCAGGGAACCTGACAACAAATCAGAATCTTGAAAAATCCTAACACTCTGGTGGGAGGTGCCTGGAAAGCAGTCCAGAAGAGGGCAGGGTATGGAGAGAGAACTGGTGGCAATTAGAGGAGTGGATGTGGACTCACGGTCCAGTGGGCATGACTTTTTTCAAAGATCTGTTGGCCTCTCCCAGAACCTCTTGTTGTTGGTCTCAGCCTGAGAATGGGGCTGGACAACAGCTCTAGTGGCCCCACTTGGGGATCTCCAGTTCTTGGAATTAGATTACCTTTTATCCCCATTCACCTCCCTAATTGGATCACAAGATCAACTGCTGGGATAGCCCTAATCTAGCAGGGTTTGGCTCAGAGGCTACAGGCTGGTCCTCAGGCCCTGTGGCTTAGGGAGACTATTATCTCACCTGGGGAAACCAAATACATGCTCTCTCTCACTGGAATAACAAGCTCTGATAAATACACCACGTGGGATGGGAGGTGAGGGTGGCTGACCAGGAGACCCTAACTCTTAGGCTGAAATCCCATTGGGTTTGCTGACCCACAATCCTTTCACCACCCCACACCAGACTTCATATGCCTGGAGAGCTCTGCTCACTGTGAAAAAACCCAAATTTCCTTCCTCTGCTCTCCTTTGTACAAGAATGGCATCTTCCAAGAGACCTTTACTAAGGATGAAGGGAGAACAAAACCTGACCACAGAGCCAGTCATGCTGATAAAGCAGTGGTTTCTGATCATGCTGCCTCAGTGAGGTGGGGCTAGCAACTAAGATTGGGCTTGGGAAGGTCACTGCATCCCTGTGCAGGGCCTTAGGGAAGCAGAGCCCTGGAGAACCCAGCTGGATCCAAGAAGCCACTACATGGGAGCCTGGAGCTATGTGGTTGCTAGCCCAATATCATGAGCATAAGGTATAAGCCAGAATACTAACTCATTTACCACAGGAAAAACAGCCACCATGGGGACTCGACAGTCAATCCTCTGGTCAGTCCCTTCTTTCTTCTATAGGAAGTACAAATTGAAGCTAGATTATGATGACAAAATTCCTACAGAGCATGGAGTCTCTCCTACAGAGAGAACTCAGACACATGTAATAATGGCAAAGCTGGGACAGCCATATGCATTTATCTGCTGTGAGGATATTCTAGCCACAGAAATCAGACACACAAGTCCTCAGGCTGGGCACTCTGTTTCTCTGAAAAGTCCAGGGTAAACTGCTTCTCTGATTCCTATTTTCAATAATAAGAATCATAGCTAACATTCATTGAACACTGAGTACTATGCAAGCACTTTATAAGAATTATCTCAATTTATTTTTACAGTAGCTCCACACAAAAGATACTATTATTACCATTGTTTTTCTAGATGGAGAAATTGCAGCTGCCCTCAGTTGTGGATAAGGAACTTTCCTAAGGTCATATGGTCAGTGGTAGGGCCAGAATTTGGATACAGGCCTCACACCAGAACTAGAGCTCTTAAACCACTATGCTAAACTATCTCCCAGTTTTCAAGAGTTCCACTCACCTTTGGTCATGACATTTTGTCTTTATATTAATATGACCATTAGATCACAATTCTCAGTTATGTCATTTTATCAGTTTCAACAGTGTAGTGCAGCAGGAGAAATAAAGCTCTGGAGTCAGATGCTACCTTTCTTTCACCTTGTTGCATGACAGTAGTGGACACTATCAGTGCTCTGACCAGATCACTTGGACTGTCCCAAGGTTTTGGCATGTGTTTCCTTCTGACAGTTTGCTTCTGTGACTCTACAGGCTGAAACTATCCTCAGGGAAATTTCACCTGTGATCACAATCCTGCTTAGCCTCTTCATCTTCCCTTTCCCTCATTCTCTTACCAGTTTCTCTTGGGAGCACTTCTCTAGTAGATAACTGGGATATGAACCCTCATTTTAGGATTTGCTTCTGGGGAACCCAACCTGACACAATGACCTAGAGCAGAGGTCACCAAATCCATCTTATTGTTGTTGTTGTAAATAAAGTTTTACTGCAACACAGCTATTCTCATTCACTTATGTATTGACTGTGGCTGCTTTTTCATTCTGACAGCAGTATTGAGTAATTGCAACAAATTATAGAGCCCATAAAGTCTTAAATATTTACTCTTTGGCCATTTTCAGAAAAAGTTTACTGACCCTAATCTAGAATAAATTTCACAATACTTATCACTCACCTCTAGGGGTTGTCATGAGGATTAAATAAATTAGAAGGGTTCCTTAGCACCTACCAGATGGTCAACTTAGGTTTTTTGAGGTGGAATGTAACATAGGGTACTCTCCAAGATGTGGGTCTTGTTCTTAGAGCTTGGGCATCCTACCTGGAAAGTTTTTCTTTCTGATTTTACACTTTCCTCCTTTCTATACAGAAAAGGATAACTTCCAGTCAGATTTTTTTTTAAGGTAGTGTTACTCTGCCAATCACCAGCATGAGAGTCAAGCTGTGGGCTTTTTGAAACTACATATTCCTGAGACCCACTTTAGACTGTACCTAGATTAGAATCTCAGAGTGGGGTCAAGTTTCCAGGTGATTTTGATGGACACTAAAGTTTGAAAAACTCAGATCTATGGTAGAAGAGGTTTGGGGGAACACAGAGAAAACCTTGAATATACATGGGGCTTTTTATTTTGCCAGGCATTTTTCTAGGTATCTTTCACATTCACTCAATCATTTAAAAAACCCGATAAATCAGTACTCTTGTTTTTCTAAGGTTAGGAAATGGAGGCATAAAAATGTTTAAGTATTTTGTCCAGTATTCCACACCTAAGATTCCAACATAATTAACTGCCTCCAGGGTCCAAATTCTTAAGCACTAAGTTACACTTCCTTTCTAATCCCCAGAATGGTCTATTTCTCAAACTGAGTTGGACACACACATGTGTTAGATTATTTATATCTGACATGTATGCTGTTACAGATCTTTTATACATATAAAATATTTCACTTGAACATATGCATGCTTTTACAAATACCAAAATAAAAACTATAATTGGAAGAGAATCTGTCTCTCAAGCCAATCTTACTAGAGCCCGCAAGGCTGGCAGAGGGAGAGAACCCAGAGAGGGCAGCTGGACCTCTGGGAGCCAAACCTTGCGTCCCCACACTTCTTGTTTGGGTAATCACACCAATCTAGGTTGCAATCTCCCCTACGGCCTCAGAGGACGCTGTCCTCACCCACACTGCCAATGGGCATGGGACCAAGTTTTAGTTAGGGTGCGAAGAGTAACAATTCTTTCTACGTGCCAATGGCTTCCAGCGCCCAGGGGCGCAAAGAGAAAAGTGCTAGGCATTGTCCCCCAGGTTCCTGCACGTATATTATCCGACATAAGCTCGCAGTCCCTTTTCAAGAAGTGCACCTGAAGCTCAGAACAGGTTCTTGACTTACCCTAAGCCACAGTCAACTAGCGTTCAGACTTGGAACTAGGTCCTTTGAGCTCTCCAGTGCTCAAGGCTGCCTCTCAAGGGTCCGGAACGGGATCGTGGGTCACCTACCAAGCTCACACTCAGAGAGACTGTCTTTCTCCACGGGGTCCCCGGACTAAGACTTTCTTGGCTCCTGTGGCTCTGGCTAAACACTGCCAAGATTCTTCAGGTATTGAGTCTTAGCTCCCAACTGGGGCGTTCTCCGAGATGGGTAGACAGACACGGGAAAAGCGGATAGCGCAAGGCCGGTCCCACCAGATCCAGCAGGGCCGGGCAGCGCCGGGACTACCCACCTAGCACCAGGATACGATCCTCGGGCCGCAGCTCCGGCTCTAGGAGGGCACGGAAGGAGGAGAAGTCGCCGAACCATTCGTAGGGGTCAGAGTCAGCCGCGTCCAGGTAGCGTTGGTCCCAGTACTGGACCTCACGGTACCCGCAGTTCTGCTTTGGTAACTCCGGCTGGGGTACCAGGGTACCCGGAGAAGCCATGATTGCAACGACCGCGCTGTCAGGGCCGAGTGCCTACACCTTTGGGGCTTTATGCCCCTATGCAGCCAATCGGGGTAGTGGCATGTAGGAGGCGTGGTCTTTATGTCTCCGCCCACCATCTCCAATTGCTCAACATAAACACGTGGAACTTCCGTCCTCTGCTAAGCGTCCTTCTAAGAATCCTCCGGTTGGGAAAACGTTATCGTCCAGACCCTGAATCCTCTGGCTGTACTGCTCAGACACTTATGACTGCCGCGCTCATGGTGTCAGACTCAACTCGGCTCATCACTTCCCCCTTTCATATTTTCAGTTTGGCTCCTTCCACTACGAAATCTTAAAACTAACGAAAGATTAATTTCTTCCCAGTTTTGAACACCCAGACGGCTCTGAAAGGAGGCGGGACGGGCGCGGACGCAGGTCTTGCCCTCCAGGAGAGAATGGCATGAAACATACTTCATACAAATGAAGTAAGATGCTGGGTGGGCGGAGGCAGAGCACCGGCAGGAAAGTAGCTGTTCTAGGCAAACGTTCTATCCCTATTAGCGTCTGTGTGTCCAAGACTTACTGTGGAGTAAGTCTATTCCTGCTCGTAGGGAGTGTGCAGTATATCAGGGAGGCAGATGTGAAAGAAGTAAATTTAGAGGAGTAAATACGGACCCTGGTAACTCTTCGGCGCTCAGTACGCTGGATTACCTGACGAGGGGAGCGGAACTTAAAGTGCCGATGTGTCGGGCTTCCGGGATAGCGGGCTCCCACCAGCGACGCACCGTCAAGATGGCGGCCGGCCTGCGGAAACGAGGCCGGGCTGGTCCCGCCGTCCGGGCAGCAGGACTCTGCGGGCAGTGGCTGCGGCGCGCCTGGCAAGAGAGGCGTCTGCTGCTGCTAGAGCCTCGCTACACGCTGCTGGTGGCCGCCTGCCTCTGCCTGGCGGAGGTGGGCATCACCTTCTGGGTCATTCACAGGGTGGCATGTGAGTGCGCCGAGGGGGAGGGAGGGTCGGGAAGGGGACCCGAACCCCCTACCCAAACTGGGACCCAGATTTCCAGATGAAACCCAGACCCCAGATCCATTCAGTCATCAGTTGAAGATCCATATCTTTTACCCAAGTCCCAAGCCTACTCTGCAGAAAACCCAATCAGATATTAATCCTTCCCCAGTGACAGAAGGGACGACCCCAGAGATCGGCAGTCTGCCCCAAACATACATCCTGCCAGGCTAAGAAGGTAAATCAGCCTGGAGGTCAGAAGACTTGGGTCCGAGATGATGTACTGCTGCTGTTTGACTCTGGGGCTTTAGACACATCACTCCCCTTGCTGGGTCTCAATTTTTTTCATCTGTTCAATTCTGAGGTCTTAAAAGTCTTCTCAACAATGGCATTTTGTGACCTCTTGAGTCCATTTGGCATTTTTGGTGGCTGCCTTCCAGACTGCTTTCTAGATATGGCTTAAGGCTTTCTTAGAGATATTAATTCAACACATATTTGTTAAGTGCTTATTATGTGCCTAACAGTGTGTTAGGTGCTGGGGACACTGGTGAAAACGATGGACATGTTGAAGTACGAAATGTGCGTGGGACTGAACAAAGATAAATTAGCAAAAAATTATAACATCATATTCATCGTGATAGTATTAAGACAGGATGCTATAAAGGACACAGGAGGTCACTTAAGCTAGACTTGAAGAGTCAGGAAAGACTTCCTACGGTCCCCCTTGAAAGGTAAGAGCTAGCCAGTTAAGGAAAGAGAAAAGGGAGGAGGAAGACCACTCTAGGTAGAGATGGTCCTGTAACAAAAACTCAGTCCAAAGAGGCCGAATCCTTTGAGGAACTGAAAATTTTTTAGAGCTAGAACATAGAAATGAAGTGAGGGTGGTAGTGAGAGATGAGATTGCAGAAATTGAAACTAGACTAAAGGGGTCTAAGCCATGCTAAGGAGATAGTTGTCATGGTGGTTAAGAATTTAGGACTCGATAAATTCCCATCTCAACTTTACCCTATTTAGCTCACTGATCTTTAGCTACTTGTTAATTCATAGGTTCCTCTTCTAAGAATGGGAATAATAGAGTTTGATCTTTATCTTAAGGACCTTGGGGAATCGTTGAAGGTTTTCAAGCAGAAAATCTGATATGATTTCTATTATCAGAAGAGCTGTCTGGTTGCAGGGTGGAAAATATATTATGGTGGGGTGAAAGTGAAAGCTAGTGCTTCACTGAGGCTAGAGATTATGTTAGACCCAAATTTGAGTATGTAATAGCAGAGAAGAATGAGATAGGAAAGATACTTAGGATGAAGAATAGGCAGGACTTGGTGACTGGCAGTTGGAAATGAGAAGGAAGTATCAAAGATGTTACCTATGTTTGTGACTTGGGCAGCTGGAAGATTCATGGTGTTATTCATGGAACCCAGGAAGGGGAGCAGATTTGGAATGGAAGATTAGTTCAGTTACAGACATGTTAAGTTTGAGATGCCTGTGTCCATCCAGAGAATGTCAGATAGGCAGTTAGATAAGGTTTTGTGGTGGAAGTCTTGGGCATGAGCTGAAACTCTGCTTTGATGGGCTGGAGGTGTGGATGGGAGGGCAGACAGATTCTGAATTTGGAAGTAACCACACTGTCCTGTTATTTTCCAGATACAGAGATTGACTGGAAGGCCTACATGGCTGAGGTAGAGGGCGTCATCAATGGCACCTATGACTACACCCAACTGCAGGGTGATACTGGACCACTTGTGTGAGTGGGATGAGGAAGTTCAACAAGGACATAGTAGGCTGGGTAGCCTGACCCAAACTCACATTCCTTCTCATCTTTCAGATACCCAGCTGGCTTTGTGTACATCTTTATGGGGCTCTACTATGCTACTGACCAGGGTACTGACATCCACATGGCCCAGCATATCTTTGCTGTACTCTACCTGGCCACCTTGCTGCTTGTCTTCTTGATCTACCACCAGACCTGCAAGGTGAGTCCCTGCTACCAGGACCAGGGAGCCCTAATTTGGAAGGTCTGGAAAGTGGGGATGGCTCAGGGTTTATGAGCTGACCTTGTTCCCCACTGTGCCTCTCAGGTACCTCCCTTTGTCTTCTTCTTCATGTGCTGCGCCTCTTACCGCGTCCACTCCATCTTTGTGCTGCGGCTCTTCAATGACCCAGTGGCCATGGCACTGCTCTTCCTCAGTATCAATCTCCTGCTGGCCCAGCGCTGGGGCTGGGGCTGCTGCTGTTTCAGGTCAGCACCCCTCCCTTCAGGCCCCCTCTCTCTCTGTATTTCCATTGCTTTCTCCCCAGTTTTCTCCAGCAGAGGGAATAAGGGAGTGGCCAGACACTGTGGGTCAGTCATGGCTCTGTTGGTAGGTCCAGGAGTTCTAGAAAGCATCCAGCCCCTCACTCCCACCATCTTCCCATCCTCTTCCCTCCGGACATCATCTGTTATTGAAGTTGATTCTGGCACATTCTAAATACTCCATATATATTTATTGGCTTAGTCTGAGCATAGAGACTAGGTATCTATCCCCACCCCACCCTCCAGCCTCCTTCCAGGCTGTTTTGCCCTCCCTCCAGCACTTCTGAGTGTGGGCCTATCCTGGAACTTGCGGGTGAGGGAGGAGAGGAGTTGCTGTGGTGATGTACAAAGGGGAGGTACACCTTTGGGTGGAGTGCACAGCCCTGAAGCTGATCTTCATCCTTCTTCTCCCCTACCCACCCCAGCCTGGCAGTCTCTGTGAAGATGAACGTGCTACTCTTCGCCCCTGGGTTACTATTCCTTCTCCTCATGCAGTTTGGCCTCCGTGGGGCCCTCCCCAAGCTGGGCATCTGTGCTCTCCTTCAGGTACCTTCTCTCACCCTTTCCCTTTTCTAATAAAGGGGAAGCCACTCTGTCTGACCTTCCATCCTGAGACTTTCTCAAAGCCAAGAGACAGGGTTTTGGAGTTGATTCTGGGCTGGGTATCCATTACCTCTGGGCTTTGGTTTCTTTAGCTGTAAAGTAAGGGTACTGGACTAGATGGTTCCTGTCTAGCCCTGCCCTTTTATGACTTTGGTGAATCCAAACTTAAACCACTGTTACCATCTGCTGCCTCAGCTTCTTTGGCCCCTGGCTCTGATTTGGGTTTGGGGTGGGGATGGGCTAGCTTCCTGCTAGGAATTAGAGAATCTGTGAGACCTACACCGTATTCCCACCCCCCTCAGTGATTAGCATGAAGCCTGGGCAGCTCTGCTGACATCACACCCATCCTCAGGTGGTGCTGGGGCTGCCCTTCCTACTGGAGAACCCTATCGGCTACCTGTCCCGCTCCTTTGACCTTGGTCGCCAGTTTCTCTTCTGCTGGACAGTGAACTGGCGCTTCCTCCCTGAGGCCCTCTTTCTCCATCGTGCCTTCCACCTGGCACTACTAGCTGCCCACCTTACTCTACTCTTGCTCTTTGCCCTCTGCAGGTGGCACAGGTGAGAAAGGGGAGCAGTGCCATGGGCAGAGCTGGGGGAAGGAATGAAAGACTAGGCCATAGGGGCTGCTTGGGAGAGATGTTGAGCTCCTGTGGTTAAGTCTAGAGCTTGGCCTATGATGGGGGCTTGATAAATGTTTAAATGGCTTCTCCCCAGGACGGGGGAAAGTATCCTGTCGCTGCTGAAGGATCCTTCCAAAAGGAAAGTTCCACCCCAGCCCCTCACACCGAATCATATCCTTTAAATTATGGGATGGTAAGTCTTGACCTCTCCAGGTGCAGGTGGGGCCCTGGATGGCTGGTGACCTTGGGAAGGACAAAGGAGGAGGTACCAGTAATAACTACAGGGCCCATTCATGTACTGAAGCCACTCTCTTCACCATAGTACATCAAACACAGTGCTTAGCACTTTGCATAGTAAAGTGCATTTTAGTCTTCTAAATACAATTGAGCTACCATTCTCAGTGCTCATCCTCTGCCTGGTGCTATCTTAAGAGATTTACATACATTCTGACCCTTAAAGCTCACAAGAGACCCTGAGATAGGTATGTTCATTATCCAGTGTTTATAGATGGCAAAATTAGGACCTTAAGAGATTAAGTAATTACCAAAGTCATACAACTAGTAAGTGATGGATTCAAACTCACTAGGCCTTACAGCCCTAGGTATTAATGTCTCAACACTGGATTGAGGAGCAGGTCCAGAGAGGTTAAGATACTTGTCTAAAGGTAGGCATCTAGGAATGGCAGAGCCAGGGGGCTGTCTGACCAAAAAACTTTTGCCCTTCTGCTCCGGAACCTCCCCTTGGCCTTGACCACTGCATACAGATCATTTCTACCCTCTTCACCTCCAACTTCATTGGCATCTGCTTCAGCCGCTCCCTCCACTACCAGTTCTATGTCTGGTATTTCCACACACTGCCCTACCTCCTGTGGGCCACGCCTGCACGCTGGCTCACACACCTGCTCAGGTACTGGCTGGGACAGTGTGGGAAAGTGGGAAGGGCTAGAGAGCTCGTCATCCTGAGGCTGACCATGGAAGGGCTGAGGGTGAGCTGAAGGGCTAGGCCTAGAAACTGGACAAAACCTGGAGCTTATTTCTCACCTCCAGATTGTTGGTGCTGGGGCTCATTGAGCTCTCCTGGAACACATACCCATCCACATCCTGCAGCTCTGTTGCCCTCCACGTATGCCATGCTGTCATCCTGCTACAGCTCTGGCTGGGCCCCCAGCCTTTCCCCAAGAGCATCCAGCACAGCAAGAAAGTGTACTGAGATCCACCTCTTTTCCCATCCAGTTCATTCTCAGGATCCTGGATGGGGATAGATCCTGTGCCCTTCCCAATAAACCTTATCAAGTCTGCTTTTGTGCAGCCTGGAAGTGTCTGGACCAAGCTGTGAGGGGTGTGCACGCAGCAGATAAGGAACTCATTCAGGCAATCCTAAGAGGCACTTTATTGCATAGGATTTAGGGACTGTGGCTCTCTCCCCTTCCACTGCAAGAGCTAGGAGGGGAAGGGACATAGGGTGGGAGGAGTGGGAGAGAGCACAGGCAGGCACTTTCAGTGAGGACAGGATTCTGGGAAGGGGATGAGAAGCACTGGGGTCAGGCTGACACCAACCTACTCCTTTCCAGTACTGAGAAGCTAGTCCTGGGTGGCAGTGACTTGAGTGTGCTGTGGGGCTCCAGCCTAAGCAACTGGTGGTGCTTACACATTTGCCGGGCTGTAGCACAGCAGGTGTAGCTGCAGATTTTGGTCCCAGTGGCGTAACAGCAAGAAGAGACCCCGGGCTGCAGCCTTGAGGGCAGCCAGATCAAGGCCATCGGGCAGGTGCTGGGCCTGTAGCCAGCAGTCAGCCTTAGCTGCTGCCAGTTCCCACTCTCCAAAGGCAGCAGCACAGCGGTGCTCCAGCCATGCCAGTGCCACAGCTGTGGCCCAGGTCCGGCCCCGCAGATCAGCGCTGGCTGGCCCATCTCCCCTCTCTGAGGCCTCCGTGTCTGAACCCCACCCACTGTCCACCTGGCCCAGACCCTCAGAACCCGAGCTGTGAGATGGACTGCAGGAGGCCGTGGTGCTGTTGCCCTGGCCAACACCCTGGCCCAGAAGTGCCCAGGGAGATGAGGCTGAGGTGGGGCTGAGGCTGGCACGGTGCACAGCAAAGGGTGAGGCTCGGCACAGACGCTCCTGTGGGATGTGCACTGCTGCACAAAAGGGTGCGTCCAGACGGAAGGAGCCAGGTGCCTCCTGCAGCCGCACCTGAGGAGAGAGGAGGTGGGGGGAGAAGTGAGCTGAGACAGCGCCCTGGCTCTGGCAGTGCCACCCTCCACCTCCCGAGTCCTCACCAAGGGCAGGTAGTCATGGTTGCTGCCTGCACTGTTGCTGTCACTGGCCCGGCCTGGGTTGCGGAGTCTGTGGCACTCTGGACCTCTGGCTGCACCACTGCCCAGGCTGAGCCTAGAGGGAGGCTGCAGGGGCAGGCAATGAGGACTTCTGGTGGGGGCTGCAAGATTCCCTGTAGCAGACTTGGAGTTGCTATTTTGGTCCAGGTTCCAGCCACCTGCCAGAGAGCCTGCCTGAAGTCCTGTAACAGAGCCAGTCAATGCCATTGGTAGTCCCCAAGCCTATTACTCCCTACCCTTCCCCCAAATTTGAGTGTTACCTTTAGAGTGGACAACTGTGGGCAGAGCCACTGTATCTAAATGGCCCTGAGAGGCAGGAAGAGTGCTTGGGGGCTCGACTGGCTCTGCAGGGGCATACGAGACAGGGAGGTGTGTCTGGGAGGGTGGCCGATGTGGTGAGGGCCAGCACCTGAGAGGTCCACCCAGGAAGTACCCTACCTGAGCTCCGCACCTGCAGGGCGGAAGGCAAGACTTCCCTAGTGGTAGCATCCACAGCTACAGGATAGGTGAAGCAGGAGGGGGCAGAGCTGACCTTGCTTGTCTGAAGGGCTCGGAGCCAGGACCTCCGGGCACGGCCTGTGAAACCAGGGAGCAGCATGCTGAACAGGAGGCAGTGCACTACCACCACCCACAATCTACAGAGGACTTTATAGAAAAAAATTTCAGTGCTCCCCACAGCTTCTCCACTTCTGTCCATGGAACAGAGTAGGGTTCCTTCTCAGGGAGAGCTTACATTCCCCAGCTTTGAAAAGAAGTGGCTGAACCCTCCACCATAGCAGGGCTAGGCCCCCTGGCCACACAGAAACTGAACACTCTGGACACCACCCAGAGGATGCACTGACTGGTGCCTTTTCCACTCACTCAGTTCAGACTGTCCAGTCGAACTTTTCTGCAGTGGAGGAAATGTGCCATAGCTGCACGCTCCAATGCAGTAGTCACTAGTCATGTGTGACTATTAAGCATTTGGAGTGTGGTTACTGCAACAGAACTGAAAATTTGATTTGATTTGATTTGATTTTAACAGTCTTCCTGAATGACCAATTTGTTTTTATGTTATGGGCACTGAATCATGGGAAGATCATTCTCTCTGTATTTGCTGCTAGGGACTTTGCCAGTTTTAGGTTCCCTGCTTGCAAAGGCAAATAATCTCATAGTGCATCTTTAATATAATGTCATCCCCAACTTTTTTATTTCCCTTTTTCTATTGCCCTGCTTAATATTTTTTTCTTGTCAATGTGGGAGAATCACTTCAAGTTGTTTGTGAGCAAGGTGACATGTATAGGGTGATCATACAGACCTATACCTCTGCCACTCACCCTGGTCAGCCATGGTCTCTGTCCCTCTTCGGAGAGCCAGCTGCTCATTGTCCCGGACCACAGAGGCTGCTGTCAGCCGATGGAGTGCTTGGTCCCAAGCACCTTCTCTTTCAGTGGGTGATAGAGGCAGTGAGCCATCTTCCTCAGACCCCCAGAGTGTCTCTAGCCCAATGCCCACCTCCCAGCACATAGGCTGCTCCCCACACAGGGCCCGGATCACCACATGGCAGTGTGGAGCCTGGGGAGGTGGTGGCACTGCTGGAGGGGCTAACTCCCCATTGGGGGGCACAGCCGTGAACAAGAAGGGTGGTTCCATTAACATGTCCCAATCCATGGGGGCTGGGGAGAGCAGGTTTCCTGGGGAGAGAAAAGGGCAAGGGCAGGAGCAGTGTGGTACCTGGGCCCCTCCCCAAGGCCTCCTTGGTGTCAACCCAGGCCCCCATCCAACCCTTACCTGAGTTGTCCAGGCCCTGTCCCCGCTGCTGCCCTGACTCAGGGCCTGGCCCATTTGGTCCTGTCCCAAGAGAGGGGTGCTGGGAGTGGCCAGGGACTGGGTATACCCGACCTGGGGGCGATGAGAGGCTTCGGCCAGCCAAAGCTGCTCTGCGTCGACGACCCAGCACCTCAGCACTCAAGGCTCCAGTCTGCATGTGAGAAGTGGGGTCCACTGGTCAAGGGATGCAGAGCTCCTGGCCATCATACATACATACATACACAATTGGCCATATGCCCCTTTGAAACCTTGGATGGCTGCTTTCCACTCTTTGGAGGATAGCCAACTCCTTATGGCCCCTGGCCTCTTCCCAGTGTCATCTTGCTCCATGCCCTATTTCTCACTTGAGGTTGTTGCTTGTTTGTGTTTTTATTCCTGTCTTCTCCCTCTTCGCCTGGCTAACTTCTACTTATTCTTCCAGATGTGGCTCTTGCTTTCTTGACTTCCTCACACAGGTTTAGTCACCTGGACTTAGAGCCCCCACAATACCATGTCCCTAGCTCATCACTGTGTGTTGCATGGTATCATCATTATAGATTTACACATCTATCTCTTCAGCTAGACTTAATAGTAACCACTGCTTAATTTATGGCATACAGCAAGTGGTCAGCATTTCCTAGGTACATGGTAGATGGGTGTGAACTGAATCTCACCTTGACTGGAGCCAGTGGGGGTGGAGGCAGGGGGCAGGAGCGGGAGCCTGCAGGTTCTCCCCAGGCCAGGCTGCGGCAGCCCTGCTGAGAAGGGGGATCCAGGGGAATACTGCCCTCGGAGGACCCAGGGCCCTGGGAGCCAGGGGACTTGCTGCTCCCTGTAGAACCTGGACCTGGCTCAGGGCTGGCAGAGCAGTGGGTGAGCACATACTGCTCGCGGATGTATGAGGACTGAAAGATGCGGTGCCATATGGCTGTGTCAGAGGAGAGGTTGGGTCCAGGATCTGTGACTAGGTCTGTCAGAGCATCAGCACCTGCTGGGAGCAGGAGAATGGATCCCAGTCCCGTTTCCCCCACTGCCCACTCCTCCTCCAACACAGCCACACGTGTACCTGGGCACTCATTCTGCTCTGAGTCCCCAACAGCCCATGGGCTGGACAGCTCCGCTGACACAGTGGTTGTTCCCAGAGGCTCCAAGGTGCCAGTGGGCTCAGTGCCAGGACTGGTGGCAGATAGCACTTCCTCTGGGGATGGGAACACAGAGCCACCCAAGCTCTGCCAGCCAGGTTCTTGACCCTAGAGAGGGATAGTCACTGGAAAAAAACCTGATCGCAGTTACACGCTACCTCTTCAAGCAGGATTTAAAATGGCTCACTGCAAGAAGCAGTAAAGGTAAATCAAAAATGTAAGCCTAGTGCTAAAGAGTAGCATATGTCATAGGGTCAATAGAGCTGCTGGGGCTGAGCTTCAGGTTTGGCTCTGAGCTTCCTGGCAGCCAGATAAAAAGGCAAATAGTCCATTAGATAGCTCTCATGATCAAAAAGAAGGAGGCATGCTTAGCTCTTCTAGAGAGGAGCTTTTCATAATAAAAATAACTGTCATTTCTCAAACTCCTACTCTCTGTCAAATATTCTACCAAGAATGTGAATGTTATCACTTCCAATCACTACAACCCTATGAATAAAATCCATAAGAGGAAATGGGCTCAGAGAGGTTAAGTGACTTGCCCCAAATCAAATAGCCAGTACATAGCAGAGTTGAGATTTGAGATTTCATCTAGACTATGCTCTGTCCCTGAATATCATAGGAAATAATCCAGATGGAGCTTTCTGTAGGGGCACCGTGTGAAGTAACAAGCAAGTTTTGAGAAAAACTTCACAGCGAGTGGTGGCACTAGTCTCTGTAGCTGTGTGCTTTTGGGAACTTTGGTAAAAAGCCAAAGGCAACACTAGGGGACAACTCGGTGGAAGACCTCATGACAAGGGCAGGCTACAGTCACCTGGGGCGGGCTCCAGGGTGCTCTCTGGGGAGGCCTGCAGGGTAGCAGGACAGCAGCACAGGGAAAGGGAGAAGGGTTTTGAAGAGATGCAGGGGCTTCAGGCCTCCCTCCCGCACCCCAGCCCAGGCCTACCCCTGGGGGACGTGGCCGGAAGCCATCCACCCTGAAGAGTGAGCAGTAACCGAGCAGCTGGTCCCCAGGGTAGAGTGCTGGGATCTCCC